CGGGTTCCTTTTCTCCGACTTGAGCCTCAAACAGCCCGGTGCTGTTGTTTGCCGGCAACTCTGCATTTTGGGCTGTTGTGCCCGGGGCCTCGGCAAATGTCGGTTAAGAAAATGTCTCCTTTCGGGCGTCTATCTGGCACCCAGTGCCACGCTGTGTGGACGCGAAGTGGTTGGCTCGGTTGCTGGCGGAGCGGTGTCCCCTCTTCTTCTGGGCTTGGACCGAATTTTACCCCCGATTCGTCAGATTTTCCGCGATGGGCGCGTTTCAAGTTTCTTGAGCCGTCAGCAGTTTTGCCGTGATTGAGACCTCCTCGCAAGCCGCCGTTGCTCGCGCAGCTGGGGATGGACTCCAGGATTGCACGCGAACCCAGGGGTCGTCGGCGCGCTACTGGCCCGGGAATCGGGCGCTGGCCACCCCCCCCCCCCCCATCCTAGCGAACGCGCGTCGCTCGGCCCCGTCCACCGAAATCTTACAAGCGCCCCTTTTAGACGCGGTGCCTGGCAGCCGCTCGCCCGGCGCGTCGGGGAGCGTGGGGAGAGAGAGACGGGGGTGGAGTTGGGCTCGGGCCCGGCCTCGACGCGCGCCAAAAAATGCGCTTGGATGACGCGGGGCGGTGGGGCGGTGGGGGGGGGGCCCGCCATGAAACCGCCCACGCCAATCGAGATCAAACCCTAATGGCGGTGATGGTTGGCCGGGCCACGGCGGTTGATGCAGTACCGGCGGTTGATGCAGCACCGGCGGTGGCACCGCGTCGGTGACCGAGATCAAGGACCGGATCTGCGGCGTAGCTCTAGAACCGAATCCCCCATTGCCCCCCACTGATCCCAACTCCGCCCCCCCCCCCCCCCCCCCCCCCCCCCCCGCTGCGGCCTTAATCCATAGCCCAGCCGTAACCCCAAGCTTTGCGCCAACTCTTAACTGTAACCGCAGGTGTCGCCGGAATGTTTCTAATCGTGAATCGGTGCCGTTGTTGGTGAACGCGGTCGCCACTGAATGGGCGTGGATGCGCATCGCCGCCTATTCCCGCATTAAAAAAATATGCCGAGCACCACGAAGCAAAGGCGGGGGGCCATCTCAAACGCCGCCTTGTTTGGGGAGCGGGGGGGGGGCGATCGTGGTGTCTATATCTCTGCTGCAACTCTTTTTCATTGTCCTTGCGGCGTAGCGACCGCGTTCTTGCCGTGCGGCGTCTCCGCCAACCCCACTCGCTCACTCGCGCTGACTTAAGACGAGCGTAATGTGGCGGCGGCGGCGGCGTGGATTTTGCACGCCGAGCAGATCTTGGGGCTTGGTTTTTAGCGGTGGCAAGAGTACCCATTTGGTAGTGGTAATCACCGGTGGTGGTGGCCGTGGTGGTGGTGGCCGTGGCAGAGGTGGTGGTAGGGGGAGTGAACAAAATACTTTAAGACTTTAATCCCTAATAAAAGAGAGTCAATACGTGGGTGACGTCAGACGGATCAGCCAATCAATAAGCGTTGACAATAGGCCGTGTGTACAGCGTAGTCATTGTAACTTGACTTCTATTGTACGGAGAACAGAATCCGTAGTTCGATTTAGAAAAAAAGTTAAATGTGCTGTGGCCTTCAGATGACTTAATAACAGCGCCGCTTGGTGAGTAGACCTGGTAAACATTTAAGGGTTGTTTGTTTACAATTCCCGAAGTTGCCCTGTGTGCGGGCAATTGTTTCACGTGACCCCTGCAGCCACTCGGGGCGCTATTATATTCAACACAGATTGCAACGATTAAAGAAATCGTCGGTGGTATTAGCCTGCACTGTTTCACGTCAAACTAGAGGCTCATAGTAACATAGACTTACACAGAGAGATCCAAACACTTCCATAGACACCCGAAGACCTATACAGTGTCCTTTATTTAACCGGATGAGATTCCAGATAATTCACTAGACTAGAACAGACCCAATGAATTAACCTACCGATCCATAGACCTACATAGAGGCCTACAGAATGTATAGATGTCCCTTAGACTTGTGTAGAATCTTGGAGGGGTGACTGAAAAAGAGCGTTATAGCTCATCGTATTCCTCCAGTATAAATAAATATTCAGATTCTGGGCCGGATGTGTATTAAATCTCATATCTCCCACCACTCCTTACCCCCCCCCCACATTATCCACCGCACCCCACTGCCCCGTGCCCTCCCACCCTCTGTGAGCTTAGGTTCTGCGTCACGGCGTGGGGTTGTCCAGCACCTCGGACAGCGAACTCATCACTCAGCTGCTGGCGCTGACCCCGCCTGGAGAGGAGCCACATGGGCCCGACTGGGTGGCGCGGTGGGCCACACTCGCTGGCTCGCTCCATCGCTGGCTCGCTCCATCGCTGGCTCGCTCCATCGCTGGCTCGCTCCATCGCTGCCCATCACTCGCTCCATCGCTGCCCATCACTCGCCTCATTCAATTGCTCGCCATCGCTCATTCACTCGCTCGCTCACCAAATCGCTCGCCCAGTATCGAATGTTCGCTCGCTGTCCAGAGCGCAATCGCTCACATTCACTCGCTCACCCGCTCGATCGCTCACACATTCTACTCGCTTGCTCAGTCACCTACTCACTCACTCACCCTGAATCGCCCTCCTGCCCGCTCGCCCAGTCACCATCACTCGCTCACCCTCATGCTAGCTGCCTCGCTCAATCACTCTCCATTGCTCATTCGCTCCCCCCACACGCTCGTTGCCTGGCCATCACGTGCTCGCCCACCTGCTTGCTTGCTCAATCACTCACCGTTGCTCAACACAACTCGCTCGCACACAGTGACATCATTGTCAGTGTTTAATAATCGAATGCTCGCGTACGGCACCGGGGTCCTAAAACGCGCCTGACCCCACCCACCCCACCCTTGACCCTGCCTACCCCAGCCTTGACCCCGCTTACCCAATGCTCGACCCCGCCCACCTCACCCGTGGCGTCTCCGCGGCCACCCTGGCAGGATCCGTAACCTGATGGAGGAGACGCGTGCCGCATACTCGCTGCTCGTGATGCACGACGATGTGATCTACGCGGTGCGCGACCCCTACGGACTCCGGCCGCTCTGCCTGGGCCAACTCGTGCCCGCCTCGTGCATGTCCTCCCCCGGTGCGTGCGTCCGCCCATCTTTTATTGTACAAGATCGCCCACGAGCGCACACGACCGCCCACGACCATCCACGACCACCCACGACCGCCTACCACCGCCCACGACTGCCCACGACCACCCACGACCACCCACCGTTACAAACCTGTCTCCAATCGTCATGGAGAATGAAGTTGAACATACATACATCATGCGCACCCTTACTCCACACGCTCGCCCAGGCTCTGCCCCCCCCCCATGCTCCCACTCTAAACGAGTGCCCTTTCTCACCCACGCTTACGTTACTTGACTCGTGCTGTTAGGCCAGAGCAATAAAAAAAAAAACGCATCCCTTGCAAAAATAGATTTCTAGTCTCACCGGGTTCTCACTTGGTTGAGGCACCTGTCCGTCTCTGTTATACGTAGGGTAGCGATTGGCAATAGGCGGGTTCAATTTATTGCCAGTGCCAAAAGTGAATTGCTTTCACAGACTTCAAAAAGTCATTTTATTACGGTCGCGAGCTTAACGCGTCCGCGATCGGCTGACTGTCGGCTCATTGTGCTGTTGCGCCCAAACACCGCTCTTTCCGCACCTCCGGTGAGCATGGTTGGCTACGTACAGTGCAAAAGAGGTTCACCAAGCGTACATTTCTGTTTTTCCTTCGTTAACAACAACAATGGTAAAAAATCGTAATAATGTTAGGGGTTAAATAAATATATCGCGTCAGTGTCGTCGTGTGTACAAACTGCATCTCACAATCGCCCAGCTGGAAGTCATCGGCAGCAGCCAGACGCTGAGCCGGCGCACACCTCTTTGTATTCGGACGTTTTCAGCCAATTGACGAGTGTTGATACGTGCGGGAGGAAACCAGAGCACATCGAGAAAACCCTTGCGTGCGAGGAGGAAACGCGATATCCTGTAGGGAACCTTGTTTTCTGCCAAGGGCCATTTGGATATTTATAACATCATTTGCGGGCCATACAAAATTATCAACTTAAAAATTTGCTGTTATTTTGGTCAAACGTTTAATTAACTCGCCCCTAATGTGATGGCTAGAACAGACCAAATGATTAAGGCCCACGGGGCCGGTCGATCCCCACCCCTGCACGCCACGCTCTGCTATGCTGCCATCTCCTGGTGAGCCAGGGTGTGTATGGCACCTCTACACCCACGGGAAGGGAGTTTAGTTTTACATTTGTGCGGTGATCCGCCAACCTTCGCTGCTTCCCAACAGCGCAGGATCACAGGCCACGTGCATCGCTACCACCAGCGCTCGGCTATTGCAACACCAGACCCATTGCAACACCAGAGCCATGTTTATTTAACGCTTTCGCACGTGGGTTGAAAGGTTTTTGCACGCGAGTTGAAACCCTTCCGTAACATGGGGGGGACAGCGATTTGAGATGCACTGCGAACAAAAACTTTTGGGCAAATTTGCGTTGCCATTACGGACACATTGATCGTGAGAGCAGCCAGAACTTGTCGCCAAAACACCAGCGGTGAAAGGGGACCTGTCTTGGCAGTCAAGGTGTGCGGCGGCTCCCTTCGCTTTGCGATGACGTCATGATGCGCGCGACGTCCTCTCGAGAAGTTGCACCTCGTGTGCCGCGTGACATGGTCTCGTTGGTTTGTGACGTTTTCATCGCGGATGAAACCCTTCCGAGGGTGCGTTACGGAATTCGTGCGCACGCGTGATTTTTCTCTCTTTTTTTTTTCTTTCTTTCTTTTTTGCTCACCAGGTACCAACGTGGAGGGTGACACCGAGGGCTGGGTCGTCTCCTCCGAGTCCTGCAGCTTCCAGTCGATCGGGGCCAGGTCAGAGGTCAGGGGGTCAAGAATTTGGTGGCGCGGGTCGCGGCGTCGCAAGCGTTCTCGCGTGCGCGCGCCGCTTTAACGACGTTCGTGCCGCGCAGGTTTTACCAGGAGGTGCGTCCCGGCGAGATGGTGGCGATCGGCCGGGGCGGGGTGCGCTCATTGGGCGTGGTTCCGCGCCCGCACGCCGACCCGCCGGCGTTCTGCATCTTTGAGTACGTCTACTTCGCCCGGCCCGACTCGGTCTTCGAGGGTAGGTGGCGCACCGCAGGACGAAGGAAACGTGTTTGCGTCGTTTATGAAGAAAGATAAAAAGTAGCTACACACGTTAAAATCGATCGTGTTTGGTTACGTTCGCCATGGAATGCAAATATTGCGGCTGCCGGCGGAGATGTCGGCCGCGAGCTCGCTCACGAGCCCCCTCGAGCGACGTTGTTGACGTTCGCTTGGTGGCGTTGCCGTGATGCTGTTGACCCCACAGGTGGAGAGGGCGGCCGTGTTTGTCCAGCTCTGACCCCGTGACCTCTTAGCTGAGTGCCACCGTCGGCGTCGTCTGTTATTGTTGACGTTCGCGAAGCCAGCGCTGTTGGCCCTGACCCCTCGTTCCCTCCCCCTCGTCCACGCTGCCTGGAGGAATTCGCCGCCTTTGTCTCCCCCGCGCCGATGTTTACTCTCCGCGCCGGGGACTCATTTTAGGCCGAGTCGACCTAGGAGAGCTCAATTCTCCGGGTTCGTAGCGCAGCGCGCTGATCTCCGCACGACTGTTAAACAAGTTCAGACGCACGCATGCGCAAGCCGCCGTCCAGTTCCTCGGGGTGACTCAGCCTGCGCCCATTCCCCCCACCCGGCAGGCCAGATGGTGTACACGGTGCGGCACCGCTGCGGACAGCGCCTGGCCACGGAGGCTCCGGTCGCCGCCGACCTGGTGAGCGCCGTGCCGGAATCGGCCACGCCTGCCGCGCTGGGATACGCCCAGGAGGTGGGTGGACACGCACGCACGTAGTGGTAGTAGTCGTGCGTTATCTTCAACATTAGTATTATTGCGCCTGTTTACCTGGGAAAGCGAAAGCCTCGCTGAGCCTCAAGACTCTTCTCAGGAGGGTCCTGCTCAGCTTGCGTAGTGGAGGGAATCTTGGTGACCACTTCGATGTTTAATATCAATTGAGTAATTTGGGTGGCCAGCTCCACGCCCGACCGATTTTGTTTCCCTAGTGGCAATGTTTACACACCGCACCAGGTACTCATTTGAGGCTTATTTGACCTAGGGGGAGGCCCAGGACCGGTTCAGATAATCATCACTGGTGTTGGCCGTGAGCGGGTTCGTAGCGCAGGGCGCTTATCGCTGCGCTCACGCGCGCACGCGCACGAGCACGAGCGCACGTTACACACGCACATAGACGCGAGCCCCCTGGTGCCCGTCCGTGCGTGGCCGCAGTCGGGGCTGCCGTACGTCGAGGTGCTGTGCAAGAACCGCTACGTGGGCCGCACCTTCATCCAGCCCAACACGCGCCTGCGACAGCTCGGCGTCGCCAAGAAGTTCGGCGTGCTCGCCGAGAACTTTGCGGGCAAGCGCGTGGTGCTCATCGACGACTCCATCGTGCGCGGCAACACCATCGCGCCCATCATCAAGCTGCTGCGGGAGGGCGGCGCCAGCGAGGTGAGGGCACGAGGGGGGAGCGCGCGGGGCGCCGGGAGCGGTCTGTCACCGGGATCGCAGAACGAATTTGTCGCGCCGGGGCCCACGCCCGCCACGCTACATCGCCGCCGCGATCCTGCGCCCGCGGGTCGACGCGGCCCGCGGGAGGTAAACGGTGACGTTGCGATTTCGCTCGCTCCCACCGCCGGGAAAGCCACGCTGTTTGTCGGCGATCCGCCCCCCGACCCGTGCTCTGCAGCCAGGGTCAGAGGTCAGAAGAGCCGTGCCTCGGTGGTGTTTGCCCGCATCTCCCCCCCCCCCACCCCTTCTCCCCGCCGCTCGCCACCGCTCGCGGTGAAGTCGTTGAACGTCTGGGGACCGAGCGAGGGGAGGCAAAGCCCCGGCCTGCTCCTCCGTAGGCCCTACGTGTCGTGGTGACCGCGGCGGGGATGACGACCTCCGGGTGGCGGGCGCGCCGCCCCGCTTCATTCATGCAGGCGGTCGCGCCAACAATTTAAAACTTTTACCGCTCCAAATAGCGGAGTTTGTTGCTTTTAGTCATCGTTATTTGGTTACATTTCACGCAGCGTTTGCCGCGATGGTTTTGTTTACACGTCGGGATTTGTTGTATGGTTTTTTTAGAGATTCTGGGCTTCATGGCTCCTAGCTATTGTACGTTTTTGTAAGTCTGTGTCTCTATGACGTTCCTATGTAAGCTCGTGCGTTTTATGTGAAGTCCATTTTATTATCTGTGTGAGTCTACAGGTCTTTGTGTAAGTCTGCACGATCTCCATCTCACTATTGAGTCTCTGTGTAGGTCTGCACAAGAGACTTCTGGTCTCTGTCGGCTCTACACAGCTCATGAAGGTTATCTATCGATCTCTCTACACCTGCCTATTGATCTGTCATTTTGCTTGTCTATCAGTCGCCCTAAATATGAATCCGTCTCACGCCAAGAGAGCGCCCCGGGACTTGTCCATGGTGCTGAATGCGGGGGAGGGGGGTGTGTAGTGTGTGTGGGACGTGCGTGCCGGGCCTGACCGCGCCGTGCCGGGCCTGACCGCGCCGTGCCGGGCCTGACCGCGCCGTGCCGCTCCGCCACCGCCGCAGGTCCACGTGCGCGTCGCCTCGCCGCCCGTGCGACACCCGTGCTACATGGGCATCAACATCCCGACGCGCGAGGAGCTCATCGCCAACAAACCCCAGTTCAACTCCCTCGCCAGCCACCTCGGTGAGGCCGCGCCGGACCGCGGCCACGCCCCGCTTCACACCGAACCGCACCGCGATCGTGCCACACCATGGCGGCACCCCAACTAGCCCCGCTGGGCTGCAGTGCGTCGGGCTACGTTGAACCGCTTGGCACCGGATTGTTACGCCGCACCGAATCGTGGCGCGCTGCACAGTGCCACGCAGAACTATTGTAATATTTTTTTTATATATATTTTGACGCGGCCGCACAGTGGTCGCTCACGGAGAGCGAACGACTCAAAGGTGCGGGGAACCTCGGACAAGTGGGGACAGGCGTCAGCCACGCGATGAGCCGCTGCTACCAGCAATTGCCCAAGCTCTGCTGTGTTCCATTTTAGTAAGATGTTTTGGGATAATGAATGACTGTTTGTACATATCGAAGGAAACCGGAGCAGTCGGGGGGAAAACTCACGCGAGAGCGAGGGGGGCAACACTTTATCCCGTGCAGGAAGGACAGGTATTGGTAGGCGGGGGGAAGAGGGCGGCGATTTTTGTAATGGAAACACGGACCGACAAAACAACAACGACGACGACGCGTGTGACCGCTATCGTGGGTCGTGGTCCCCGACCTCAACGACCATCGCGAGTCATCGCTGTCACAACACACCGCCACTGCGTAAGACCTCGTGTTTATAAATAATCTAAAGTAAAGGTCAATAGGTTCAAGGCCAGCGCCGCTCGGGACCTCCACATCGCTTCCTTGTTTCTGTGGGACAGCCGAGTTGACCCCCAACACGGTCCGCTCTTTGTTATGCCGCACAGCATTCAAGAATCACTCTTATCATTGTCATCATCACCACCACCACCACCACGATTCTGGCCTTAGGTCTCCATCGTCATGCGAGATTAGCGCTGCCGAGAAGCTCGCGGTGCCTCTCTGCCGCTCGTTTTTGCCGTGTGTCGTGGGCCGAGTGTGCTCATCGCCTCTGCCCTACGCCGACCCATTTCTCTCTCCCCTCCCCCCCGACTACTACCACCACCACCAATCCCTCTCCCGCAACCGCACGCAGATGCCAACAGTGTGGAGTACCTGTCCGTGGCAGGGCTGCAGTGGGCCGTGCAGAAGGGCATCAAGTACGGGGGCAACGTCCCGGCGACGGGCGTGCAGCCGGAGCCCGCCGACGATCGCGGCCACGACGGCCGCGAAGGGGCCGACGGCTCGGCAGGCTCCGGCCACTGCACCGCCTGCCTGACGGGCACCTACCCCGTGGAACTCGAGTGGTGACCGCCGCCGCCGCCGCCGCGTTGGCGCCCCGGTTACGCCGCGATGGTGGCGACGCCGCTGAAGTCGCCGCGAGCGTGCGGCCGTGGTAGCCTGCCGGGGGAGGGCAGCAGCCACGTGCCAGAGAAGGGGCTGTGGAGGCCTGACCCACCCACCCACCACCCACCCACCCCCGCAAAGCGATGGACGATGTTACGGAGAGACGCAGCATGGTGTTCCGTTCCCCGAGGGGTGGGAGAGGCGTCGATGCCACTCGAGATTCAGAAGCCCAGCTGGTTGCTTGCCGCCTAGTCGCTTTCACTCCCCTCGAATGTGACACTAAATTTTGTTGTTTTGTAATTTAGTGCCAACCAAAAATGCAACTGGCGGGTAGGGATGGCGCAGGGACTCGCAAGACGGCCCTTTGCAGCCTTCTGTCGAAGCTAAACGGTGAAACTATCCTGAACGTAACTTTATTGCATCATTCAAATGTTGTCCTGCATTGAACTTAATGTTCCTCCGTGTTTGTGTTTAATGAGGCGTAGGTCTTGACACCAGCCCACCCCACTCGCCTCTGTGCAGCCCGGCCACAGGAAGGCCTGGCTGTGGATCTAGGAAAGTAAAGGCAGCTTCATAACCTATACAAAAACAAAACAATTCTTGAGGAATTTTTGAGAAATTTAAAAGGAAAAAAGGTGCGCTTTAAACCATGATTACATGTGAATGCAGTGTTCACAAACATCGAGGCATCATATGCAACGACAACAAATGCAGCCATGTTGGACCAGGTTGATGCGATTACCACGTGGCCCAGTCGAATCAATTGGCGCAATATTGCTGCTCATGCAAAAAGGCAACAATGCCAGAGTAACAGTTGCTTCGATTTGCGGACCGGAACGCAACTTTTATTTCCCTTGGTGTTGCATCCTTTTCTTAAAAACAAAACTCGATGACACGGACAAAAAGCACACGGCAACAGCATTTGGTGCTAGCAACGTTATTGCAAGAGAAACAAAAAACTTGCACTGTTGATATTTGTACTTCATCTCAAAAGGTATCGCGCGTCATTGAGACCTTGTTTACGTAAATTGTAGCAAACCACTGGCGGAGTGTGGCACCAAACGTGAATGTGGCAGTGCAACTCGAGAGCCCAGATAATGTTGCCCGAGACGAGTTGGCGCTGCCTGCCTTTGCCGCCGTCAAGTTGATTTCTCGTCGTTCCTCGGAATGCAAGCGTGACGACAGGTTTTGTCTTGTTGCGAATGTGTTTTAAAAAAAAAGTTCATTTTGTGACGACGGTTTTGTTTTTTGGTCAATTTGAATTAAAAGATGTTAAATTCTTTTGTCGCGAGTCCTGCCAACGGCCTGCATGTGGTTCTCACGCGTGTGGGTGGTGCGGATTCAAAGCGTCGGAGGTAGAGATCGTGAAATCCCGAGTGCTGCGGACACCGCACAGGAGAAGCGGTGACCAAGATGACGGGAGCTGCTACGAGTGTTGGGCCGCTGAAGTGGCTCGGCAGTTGCGCGTTTTGCCGCTTGTTGCACGGGAATCGTGGTTTAAAAATCCGGCCAGCCGCCCCGGTAAATGCGGGTGTGACCGGTTGATTATCGCCGGTCTGCTTCTCTCATTCAAGATCCCGTGATGTTATTGGAGATAGAAGAGGAGGCGACTGCGTGCCAGAGGTGCAGCTGTCACGGAACGAAACCTCACGCTGGCAGTCACTGGGCCAAGTTGTCTTTCACGGCCTCTTCTCGAGGGGGGCGCGGTGGTTGGGGGATTCGCTCTCGCCCTGTTGGTGCATTCTGGGATGACCGACAAGAAAACAAATAGGCGGCGAACAAAAGGCTGTGCACCACGTGTGTGCCACGTGTTCGAAAACCGTAAGATAACCTAGTGTTCCATTTGTGGAACACAGCCTCTTATCTCTGGCAGAGCAAGCCGCGTGTTTGCTGCTGCTGCCGGAGGTTGGGAGGGGAACAGGGCAGCGCGTGTTTAAGGCTCTTTCATGTATCGGTGGGGTTTATGTTTTTTAAGCGTGGAAAGCGTCAAGAACGTGGCCGGAGTTTGAGAAAGTTTGGCCCGACGGCCTGCCCTCGAAGGGAGCTCGCCTGCCCCTTTAAGTGAAACGTCTTCTCACTCGCCTGACGATGTATCGCTTTGTCACCAATCCGTCTCTCCATCTATTCATCTGTCCAGCTTAGTTTGTCTGATAAACTATTGATCTATTAATCGATCCATGTATCGCTGTATACACGAATGTTTCAATCTCTCTTCGTATGTCTAACCACAAGCTTGGCAGCTGGTTATGGTAAAAGTCGTTTTCATTTTAAATGTAAATATACAGAAACGTACATCGCTTTCACTGCAGCGTAACTAAATCCGACAGGCGGAGTTCACCTCCATTGGCGGTGTTTTGAATCAGTGGTGACAATTCCACAGTCATATGGCAGGACCAAGTGAATCGTTCCTAGAACAGCCACTCATCCGGTTATCGGTCTCGCGACCTCCGATCTGCCTCGAGTGGCCTCGTTGTCAAGGCCGTCGCTCGAACGTCCCCTCCTGTAAAAACATATTCAGCACAGTCGAAGAAGAAGAATAACAACACTCGTTCTGTATTCGCGGTGTCCGACTCATGCATGCGGGGATGTCCGTAAGGAGGGGGGAGGTGCAGGGGGTGCGGCGGCCGTGGCAAATCACGCAGCGTGCGCCCCCCGACGCCTTCAACGCAAACGGGAAGTTATCACTTCTGACACCTTGACTTCAAAGCGCGGGGCCCGGGCCGGTCGCCCAGAATCGCCGCGGACCCCGAGGGACGGCAGTGCGTGCGCGGCGAGCGTTCCCGACAACAAACACCGCCCGGAGGTACGGGGCCGTTCGTGTTCTTAGCGACGGAGGCCCACTGCGGTCGGAGAATGACGGCGTTGGCCGGGTCGGAGCAGGGAAAGCGCCTCACGTGTTGGAGTGAGGTGGAGTGGGGGGGGTGTTTCAAAGCAGATTGAACGGTGGGTACCCCCAGTGTCGGATTGTCCTAGTAGCACAAGTAGCTACATGTGTAGCAGCTACATGTGCTACGGGCCCCGCACTTTCAAGGGCCCCGCGCTAAATGCGTTCAAGCTATCAATTCCGGTTCAGTGATTCCGCACTAGCTCTATTACTATAGTACTATACCGCCCTGTAACTTTTATGAACGACTGGGTGTTTAAGGTTAGTGATTTGCCGTATTATCTGGCTGTATAGCAAAAAAAATACAATTTACTATGCAAGTAAAAATATAAAAATTTTCACATTTATTTATTTAGTTATGCCCCTTTTATAACATCATAAGCTACGGGCCCCGCACTTAGCTTCATCCAGCACTGGGCACCCCAGGGGACACTGCGAATATCCCAGGTGGCACCGGGGCCCAGACTTATTATTTAATGAATTCTCCCGCGCTTCTGCCCATGTGTCTGTTTTCAGGTTGAATTCGTGCCGCGCTCTCAACGTTAACGAACAATAGCCGAGTGTCGTCAGCTCGCGGGATTTGATGGAGCGAATTTCTACTTTCGTTGTAATCGTCTCCGTGCGTGCGAGAATGTCACGGCAACGCGGCGCCCATCACGCTGGCGGTAGCCGCTCAACCGCGGCCCGCTCATTTGACCAACGAAAATGAATTATTGACGCGTTCGCAATCGCCTTGGCGATAGCTACCGTGAGTCGCCGCCTGCGTCCCCCCGCTGTTCGCTCGCGGTGACGACCACGTCGGCCCTGGGCCGCTGCACGGCTAAAGAATGCCACGGCAGGTTTGAAATAGCGTCACGCGGCAGAGAAAGTGGTTAACCACCCCCCCCCCCCCCCCCTATGGGATTCGGCGATTGTAAAGCAGAAATTTTCGTTTTGTCCACAAGGGTGGTCTCAGCGTTGGCATGAGTTGAACTTTTGACTTTAAAATCCCACCGATGAGAGTGTCTCCACGTGGGAAGACGCCCGGAGACACCCCACCACCACCTGTCACCAGGCAGGGACAGCAGCACCGAGCCACGCGTCACGGCACCGCGCCTACAACCCCGGGCGAGCCTGGCGCATGCCACCATCCGAGCTCTATCGAGGCTGGAACCTGGCTTCGCTTCCGACATCCGACGAGATGGGGCGGCTCCCCGGATGATTTTGTGAGAGGCGTCAGCGTCATAGGAATGTGGAATTTCCACCAAGGGCTCGGCACCTCCCAATGGACAGAGGTGATCGCTGCTCTGGGCTCGTTCGAGCATCGGAGCCTCTTGGACGTATTCCCAATGTTTGGTTCGGAAAAAAATCCTTCGCAAATGAACTTTGGCCCTGCCTCTCATGAACGGGTTGTTAATTATGATTCACGAAGCGTGGTGGCGGCAGGGCCGGCATCGAGGGAGGTCGGGAGGGAGATAGAATGCACGGAGGGAAAGAGGAAGAGAGGAGAGGAGATTGAGGGGTAATGGAATGTAGGGAGGGATGAAGGAAGAGGAATGGATGGAGAGATAGATGGAGGGAGGAGGGATGGTGAGAGGGAGGAGAGAGCGAGGTGGGAGGGTAGAGGGCACTGGCTGATAAGGCAGTGGGCACATCTAGCGTGGTGCACTGCCAGGCGTGATCGCGACTCAAACAGCAACACCCAGGACCACCCCTGAAAACCAGCGGCTCCTAGTACCCTGAAGGAGGGGTCCCAGCCCCTGCGGGGTCTCAGTGCCCCTGGAGGTGGTCGCTGTGGCAGATCTGCTGGCCACGTCGTCTCTTCTGTCACCGACTGCAGCATGGGCAACTTTAGAGTGGATGACTTCGTGGCCGGGTGGATTGGAGGTGAGTTGTGAGTGAGCGGGGGGAGGGGGTTAGTGGGGGCGGGGGGGTGTTACCTGCTTGTGGTCACCTGTGCACGGCGTGTGGTTAAATGTTCGCAGCTTGATCAAAAGTCATCGTGTCACGAAGCATCGTCCGATTCCAAATCCAATTGCGTGTTGTGACGGAAATGGGGGCTTTGCGAGATAAAGTGGCTGTTGTTGATAAAATGGGCGCCACGGTGGCTAGGAGATGTTAACTACCTCGCCTGGTATACAGGAGGGTGTGGATTCGATCCCGATCCTGACACCTGCTGCTGTATATTTGGAGTTTGCATGTTCTAGACGTTTGGATTTTTTTCCCCGGGTTTAGAAACACGCGTTTCGACCATTTGTCTGCTATAAATGTCTACTTGATAAGCCACTTCGTTGAGCTATCATGTTGTGGCCAGGTCGCTTCGGAAAAAGAGCTACATCGTTCAGTGGGCCTTATCTGGTGAAATCAAATTAAAAGAATTGTTAACAAAAAAGTTATATGTATTTAGCCGCAACAACCTCGCTGAGTCGCAAGACACTTTTTCACAAGCGTCTTGCGATTTTGGGATGTTTGGAAAATGTATATATACAAGTTGCCCGCACGTCCATTGGACGTGACCGTCCGATCCTATCGAGTGTGCAGGCGGTGCAACTGCACCGGCAGAGGGAGGAGGAGGGGGGTCAGGCGTAAGGCTGTGAAGAGGGGAAATTGGGCAGGGAGGTGCCCATTTAATTCCATGTACCGGGGCCCATGCCAACCACGGCACTGTGTCACGGAATTCATATGAGAGATTTCGTCAGATGTAGAACTTCTTTCGCACCGTAGGTAGCCAGCCGTGATAATTGGAAGTGCGGGAGGGCAACGTGGTAGAGGAACGTAAGAAAACAAAGACATACCTCCCGTATTCACAAAGCAGACTGTTGGGGAAAGTATTGTTAGCGAGCACCTACGAACGCCGCCGACACGGCACACGGGTGTAAGATGCCAGAAACGAGACCGGACGCCTTTGTCTCCCTAGTGGCGATGTTTACACATCGCACTACGTACTCATTTGAGGCTAAGTCGACCTAGGCGAGGCCCAGGACCGGTTTAGCTAATCGTCACTGATGTTGGCCGTGAGCGAGAATCGAACTCTGGTCGCCGGTTTTGTCGCACAGTACGATAACAAAACCGCGCGCGCACACAATCACTGACACAAATCACTGACACAAATCACTGACACACAAATCACTGACACAAATCACTGACACACAATCATTGACACAAATCACTGACACAATCACTGACACACAATCACTGACACAATCACTGCTCAAGCAGCTGCAGCAGCGATGTTCAGAGATGGGCATCGCGATGCGTCTCACACCTGCGTGTCCCCGGGTGTGTGTGTGTGTCTGTGTGTGTGTATGTGTGTCTCTGTGTGTGTGTATGTGTGTGTTCTCGTGTGTGTGTCTGTGTGTGTGTGTATGTCTGTGTGTGTGTGTCTGTGTGTGTGTGTGTTCTCGGGTGTGTGTGTGTCTGTGTCCCCGGATGTGTGTGTCTGTCTGTGTGTGTTCTTGGGTGTGTGTGTGTCTGTCTGTGTGTGTGTGTTCTGGGGTGTGTGTGTGTGTCTGTCTGTGTGTGTGTGTTCTGGGGTGTGTGTGTGTGTGTCTGTGTGTATGTGTTCTCGTGTGTGTGTGTATGTCTGTGTGTGTGTGCCTGTGTGTATGTGTTCTCGTGTGTGTGTGTGTCTGTGTGTGTGTGTCTGTGTTCTCGTATGTGTGTTCTCGGGTGTGTCTGTGTGTTCTCGGGTGTGTGTGTGTGTCTGTATCCCTGTGTGTGTGTCCCTGTCTGTATGTATCTGTATCCCTGTGTGTGTCTCTATTCATGTGTGTGTGTATCCCTGTCTGTGTGTCTGTATCCCTGTGTGTGTCTCTATCCATGTGTGTGTGTGTCTGTATCCCTGGGTGTGTGTATATATCCCTGGGTGTGTGTGTATGTATCCCTGTGTGTGTGTCTGTATCCCTGTGTGTGTATCTGTATCCCTGTGTGTGTGTGTGTGTCTGTATCCCTGTGTGTGTGTGTCCCTGTGTGTGTGTCCCTGTGTGTGTGTCGCTGTGTGTGTGTCCCTGTGGTCTGGCAAAACAACCCCCTACCTCTTCGCGGTGCCGGACGGGCAACTCTGTCGTGGACACTGCTGTGGGGCGAGGGCCAATTCCGATTGGCTCCTCCCCTCATGGCGTCTGTGACCACCACAGAGGCTAAACGGGGGCTCTGGACGGGTGCGAGGGACTGGTAACTCCTCCACCTTCAATTAATTACCACTAAACCACGAGTTAAACTAAAATATGTAACTAATAAGCTTGTGCCGGAGGCCCCAGGGGGACAGGCGTCTATGACGTCTCCTGGCCAAACCCCAATTGGTGGAGCCAGGAGATTTAATCTCTACCCTCGGGGCTCCTTAAGAAACAACGAAAAGCCAATACGGATGGCCACGTGGAATGTTCGAACACTCACTGTGGAGGAGAGTCTGCCACTCCTCTGTCGGGAGCTGGACCGGTACCGCCTGGATTTCTGTGGTATTCAGGAGGTCCGGTGGACCGGTTCTGGCTCCTGCCACCATGAGGGGTGGACAGTCCTCTACTCGGGGCAGCAGACTGCCAAACAACAGGGTGTGGCTCTTCTTTTGAACAAGAGAATGAAGGGGGTGTGGGAGCGTGGTGGTGAGGTGTGGGAAGCTGTAAGCCCCAGGCTACTTTGGGCTCGCCTTCTCATCAACCGGAGGCGAGGAGTGGTGGTCGTGGTTACTTATGCCCCCACCGAAGACGAACATCCGTGGAGGGATGCAGGCAAAGCCGATGAGTCAGATGCCTTCTATGACCTGCTGTCACAGGTGCTGGCTAAAGTGGCACCTCGGGATAGAGTCATCATGTTGGGTGACTTCAATGCCCGAGTTGGTCATGATGCTGGCACCTGGTCTGGAGTGACTGGAGGGCATGGGCCAGATCAGCTCAATAACAACGGTAGGAGGCTTCTATATTTTTGAGCAGCCCATGGGCTTGTAATTACCAACACGCTGTTCCGGCATCGGCGCATCCACACAACATAATGGATGCATGCCAGGTCCAAGCAAGAACATCTGCTGGACTACATAGTGACGGACCAGCGGATGCGAGCCCATGTCCTTGACACCAGGACCTACCGTGGAGCTGATCTGCCCTCTGACCATCGACTAGTCATCTGTAAGATGCGCCTGTCATTCTTCCACTCCGGTGGTGGGTGTACACCCAGGACCCCATTCCAACCTAAAGTGGCCTGGTCACAGTTATCTGATGAAAGTTGCAAGCGAGATTTCATCATCGCTTGCGGCTGGGATTGGCATCGTCCCCGACTCCTCCTGATGTCGAGGGTAAATGGGAAAGGTTTAGGACTGTAACTCATGCAGCTGCAATGGCTGCTTTGGGTACGCGGTCCAGACCTCCCCAGAGACCCTGGCTGACAGAGGAGGTGTTCAGGATGGTTGAGAAAAAGTGACAGGCCCACTGTCATCGGCTACAGAATCCCACGTCAGAGAATGAGGAGGCATACCGCAGCCTTCGCTCGGAGGTTCGGAGAGCCGTGAGGCGCTGCAAGGATGGGTGGTGGTCGCGGGTTGCTGAGGAGATGGTGTCTGCCTCAGTGGCCCGCGATCACAAATCTCTATTTAACTCCATAAAAAAGTAACCTGCAGCGCCACACCTATTGCCATCATTAGGGGAAAAAACGGTGATCCAATCTCCGACCCCCAGGAACAGGTTTGCAGATTTGCTGAGCATTTCTGTGAGGTCCTGGGGGAGGGAAAATCCCTCAGCCAGGAAAACATCGTGGCACAAAGTGAGGATGACCCTGCTGAGGCTGCGGTGCCTCAAATATTGGAAGAAGTCACCCCTTATGAGTGGCTGGCTGAGGTGCCATCTGTTGAAGAAGTACTGAAGGCGATCCGGAGTCTGAGACCAGGGAAGGCAGCAGGCAGAGATGATCTCCCAAGCGAAATGCTGAGGGAGAGTGGCGTTTGTGCACAGACTGCCCTATATGACATCAAAACAACAGTCTTGACCACTGGACGGGTTCCGCAGGATTGGAAGGATGCCCTGGTGGTCCCCCTCTTTAAGAAGGGGGACCGCACAGACTGTAACAACTACAGGGGCATCTCACTCCTCAGTGTGCCGGGAAAGGTCCTGGCAAGGATTATTCAACGTCGCCTTACCAGGCACGCTGAGGAGAGGCTTGTGGAGCCCCAATGCGGCTTCAGGAAAGGGCGGTCCTGCACAGATGGCATATTTTCTGTCCGTCTGCTACAGCAGAGGTGTAAGGAATTCCAGCAAGACCTACATCTTTGCTTTATTGACCTGGTCAAGGCCTATGATACCATCAGTAGGCCTGGGCTCTGGGTTGTTCTTCGTGCTTTTGGAGTACCTGACCCTCTGCTCACGATCATTAAGGACCTTCATGATGGTGAGCGGGCCCGGGTAAACTACGTGGCCGGGAGTCAGAGCCATTCCCTGTACACCTTGGGGTGCCACAGGGATGTCCTCTGCCTCTCACATTATTTAAAATCTATTTTGACCACGTAGTTCGTGAAGCCTTCAATCGCTGTACCAGGGGAATCTTCATATGGTACAGATATAATGGGAGGCTGATCGATGCCCGGGTGCAGTCAAGGGATGGCTCCCTATTGCTCAACCACGTTATGTATGTCGATGATTTGGTAATAGTTGCTCATTCAGAGGAGTTGGAGACGCTGCTGCTGAGACTGGAGCGTGCTACTAATAGATGGGGCCTTACCATCAGCCCCATCAAACCTAAGCACCTGCCTGGGTATTTTGTACTATCGGACACTTCACCCCCACATCTCCCAATCGGTGATGGGGCAGTTATGGAGAGAGTGGAGAGTTTCCCATACCTGGGCAGTGTGCTTATGACCGGCTCCAGTTTAACAGCAGAGATCTCACTCCGAATCAGTCGAGCGGCAATATCTTTTCATCGGTTGCGTAACGCTGTGTGGAAGCTACCTGGTCTGTCGCTCCGCACTAAGCTTCAGGTCTTCTCGGCCACGGTCATTCCCTCCCTTCTCTACGCTTGTGAAACGTGGACCCCCCTAATGGAACATCTTCGCCGGTTAGAAACATTTAGGCTGGCCTGCCTACGATCCATCCTGGGTTTAACCAGGCTGGATTGTGTGAGGAGCTCACAGATCCTTGAAAGATCTGGGCAAGGTCCCACCGGTGAGCTCTTCTGGCAGGCAAGGCTGCATTGGCTGGGTCATGTAGCCCGCATGCCCAGCCACCGCATGCCGAAATAGTTTTTGTTCGACCGGATCGAGGGGGATAAACGGGCGCGGCACGGGCTAGAGAAGAGATAGAGTGATGTGGTACAGGAGGACGTGGAGCTGAGTGGACTTGCCGATGACTGGTACCAGCGGTGTCAAGATCGGCCTCTGTGGAGGAGGCTCGTGAAGGACGCTATTGGGCAGTTGGAGGCAGTCGCCCTCCAACAACAACGGAGGGCAGAGGAGCGACGCTCACAACAACGAGCGGAGCGCCGGGTGGGTAAAGCACAGCAGGTTGGCACCGTAGGGGGCACAGGTGGTGCATCAGCCAGTCATCTCAGTCAGTCGACCCGTGGCACCTGGGTCTGCCCCGTGACCTCCTGCCAGCGGGCGTTCGACACTTCACGTGGCCTCAAGGTGCCCATGGCCTGGCACAAGCGTCGTCGTGGTGACATCACCGCCACTTAGTGGCGAATGGCGGTTGTTGTTGTTGTATCCCTGTGTGTGTGTCCCTGTGTGTATGTGTCTGTGTGTGTGTGTGTGTGTCCCTGTGTGCATGTGTCTGCGTGCACCACCAGGAGCCTCCAGCGTCGTGGTGGGGCATCCCATGGACACAGTGAAGGTGCGCGCACCCCCTGCACTTGTTTTGCCGTGCTACACACACGACGTTTGCATGCCTACCCTTGTCACCCCATTGTTAAATCCCTACCCTTGTAAACCCATTGTTAAATCCCTACCCTTGTAACCCCATTGTTAAATCCCTACCCTTGAAACCCCATTGTTAAATCCCTACCCTTGAAACCCCATTGTTAAATCCCTACCCTTGTAAACCCATTGTTAAATCCCTACCCTTGTAACCCCATTGTTAAATCCCTACCCTTGAAACCCCATTGTTAAATCCCTACCCTTGAAAGCCCATAGTTAAATCCCTACCCTTGTGACTCCATTGTTAAATCCCTACCTTTGTCACCCCACTGTGAAATCCCTACCCATGAAATCCCAATGTTAAATCCCTACCCTTGTAACCCCATTGTTAAATCCCTACCCTTGTAACCCCATTGTTAAATCCCTACCCTTGAAACCCCATTGTTAAATCCCTACCCTTGTAGCTCTATTGTTAAATCCCGACCCTTGAAACCCCATTGTTAAATCCCTACCCTTGTAACTCCATTGTTAAATCCCTACCCTTGTAACCCCATTGTTAAATCCCTACCCTTGTAACCCCATTGTTAAATCCCTACCCTTGTCACCCCATTGTAAAATCCCGACCCTTGAAACCCCATTGTTAAATCCCTACCCTTGAAACCCCATTGTTAAATCCATACCCTTGAAACCCCATTGTTAAATCCCTACCCTTGAAACCCCATTGTTAAATCCCTACCCTTGTAAACCCATTGTTAAATCCCTACCCTTGAAACCCCATTGTTAAATCCCTACCCTTGAAACCCCATTGTTAAATCCCTACCCATGAAATCCCATTGTTAAATCCCTACCCTTGTAACCCCATTGTTAAATCCCTACCCTTGAAACCCCATTGTTAAATCCCTACCCATGAAATCCCATTGTTAATCCCGACCCTTGTAACCCCATTGTTAAATCCCTACCCTTGTAACCCCATTGTTAAATCCCTACCCTTGTAGCTCTATTGTTAAATCCCTACCCTTGTAACCCCATTGTTAAATCCCGACCCTTGTAACCTCATTGTTAAATCCCTACCCTTGAAACCCCATTGTTAAATTCCTGCCCTTGTAACTCCATTGTTAAATCCCTACCCTTGTCACCCCATTGTTAAATCCCTACCCTTGAAACCCCATTGTTAAATCCCTACCCTTGAAACCCCATTGTTAAATCCCTACCCATGAAATCCCATTGTTTAATCCCTACCCTTGTAACCCCATTGTTAAATCCCTACCCTTGAAACCCCATTGTTAAATCCCTACCCATGAAATCCCATTGTTAATCCCGACCCTTGAAACCCCATTGTTAAATCCCTACCCTTGTAACTCCATTGTTAAATCCCTACCCTTGAAACCCCATTGTTAAATCCCTACCCTTGTAACCCCATTGTTAAATCCCGACCCTTGTAACCTCATTGTTAAATCCCTACTCTTGAAACCCCATTGTTAAATCCCTACCCTTGAAACCCCATTGTTAAATCCCTACCCTTGAAACCCCATTGTTAAATCCCTACCCTTGTAACCTCATTGTTAAATCCCTACCCTTGAAACCCCATTGTTAAATCCCTACCCTTGTAACCCCATTGTTAAATCCCGACCCTTGTAACCTCATTGTTAAATCCCTACTCTTGAAACCCCATTGTTAAATCCCTACCCTTGAAACCCCATTGTTAAATCCCGACCCTTGAAACCCCATTGTTAAATCCCTACCCTTGTAACCTCATTGTTAAATCCCTACCCTTGAAACCCCATTGTTAAATCCCTACCCTTGTAACCCCATTGTTAAATCCCGACCCTTGTAACCTCATTGTTAAATCCCTACTCTTGAAACCCCATTGTTAAATCCCTACCCTTGAAACCCCATTGTTAAATCCCTACCCTTGAAACCCCATTGTTAAATCCCTACCCTTGTAACCTCATTGTTAAATCCCTACCCTTGAAACCCCATTGTTAAATCCCTACCCTTGTAATCCCATTGTTAAATCCCTACCCTTGCATCCCCTACACCATTGGGGCAGCACAAATGCAGCACCGCCCCCTGCATCGCTGTTCCTGCAGCACCACTCATGCAGCACCGCTCTTGCAGCACCACTCCTGTAGCACGAACGTCATCGCCCTACCCTTGCACCTCAACCCTTGCGTCTCGCTGCGTACACCCTCAAACCCTAAGCGCCGCCCTTGCATCACTTGCAGCACGACCGGTATTTCCCTACCGTTGCATCTCAACTCTCCGCTTGCATCCCGAACACTGTACAGCACGAGCCCTTGCAGCGGCACCCTTGTTCCCCCCACGCTAGCAGCACCACGTACGCACATTAGACCCTGATGACCGAGCACTGCGAGTTGCAGTGACGAGAGAGAGAGAGACAGAGCGGTGGGTGGTTCCAAGGTCGCGGTTTGAAATTCTCGCCAGTAAACTTTCTACATATTATAGCGGGTGGGATTGTGCTAAATCATCTATATTAATCAGTCGTGCAATTGTCTCGTAATGATCATAATATAATTACGCAGTAATCATAAAAGAGTAATAAGAATATCATAATTAACACTTATAGAGCGCCCTTCGAATCAATGGTTTCTCAGTGCGGTGCTCAACGTGTTCAGCACGTTCACACCGCACCATGTGCGCGCGACTTTTGAACCCCCCCCCCCCCTCCCACTAACAAATATGTACGCCGAGTTATGAAACACAAAGCCCCCCCCGGTGTGAATGATTAACGTGGCAGGTGACGGGTGTCCCCCCCCCTCCACCACCGATGTAAAATCCCAAACGCGGCCGCGTCTTCACCTGGGCCTCGATCGTTACCTGTGTCCTGTGGTTACCTCGTCTCCTTGGATACCCGTGTACGTGTTCCTGCGACTGCGTGTGGAAGTGGGGAACGGTGGCCCAGCGGCAATAGCGCGATGCGATACGAACCCGGCCACCTGAGTTCGATTCCCGCTCACGATCAATAACAGTGGCGAACATGTGAGCCGGTCCTGGGCCCCTTCCCAAGGTGGACTCAGCCTGACATGAGTAGCTTCGTGCGTCATAACAGATGCTTGTGAATACCCCCCCTACCCCCCCCCCCCCCAAAAAAAATGTGAGAGGCTACATGGGGGATCTTTGTCTTTGTCTGTGGACAGACTCGACTGCAGGCCGCCTCTGGGTACCGTAGCATGTTCCACTGCATGACCTCGATCTACAGGAAGGAGTCGGTGCGTCTCCACTCACCTTATCCACACACACACACACAGATGTATACACATCGTCATCAGGCATGATCAATCCACTGCTGGATGAAGGCATCCCCAAGGCTCTCATGATCCTGCGATGCAACGATCCATTCGTCACCTGCACGCCAGCTGATGTCGTCGCTGTCATCTCCCCGAGTGAATGCCCTCTCAGCACGCGTTCCATCCCTTGGCTGCCACTCCGTTATTGTCCTCGACCGGCGTCCATCGCCCCTTGTTAGCCATAGCGCTTCCTGTTCAAGTCCACTTCGTTTTTTTTATTGTTTGGACGATGTCATCGTTAACCTACGTGTGGTCTTCTCATCCACGCGTTCCCCTCTCTGTCTCTCAGTGGCATGCCCAAGCGTGCGTCTCTCCGCGCTTCTTCGCGGCTCTTTTAAGTTTTTCCTTCCATGCTTTTCGTTAATCACCAACGTGTTTCTGACCCACGTGCACTGATTGCACGCTAACTTCGGTAGGCCACAATGCCACGGTTCGTTCTCACGATCAAGTCCAACTCTTCACTGGCAACCCCGCACCCGGCTCAAGTTCACCCCACCATTTCGTATTCTTGATTTCTGTCTGCCTTCCACAGCGAGACAATTGTACATACACACCCACAAACACAACATCAAACACATGACGCACGTATAAACACGCATAGGCATACACAATTGTAATGCGCGTTTCGACCTGTAATTCACCGCCACATCGTATTCACTGACTCGCGTAGAGCGAGAGAGAGGCACACCGACTCAGAGGCGCGAGGAGGAACTACGGACGGGCGGGAAGGCAGCAGCTGCCAAGCTGTAAACCGGCGCCAGCAATTCCCCAAGCTCTGCGGTCCTCTGTATATGAAGGTGTTATCTGTAAATTAATTATTCATTGGGGCCGCTACATCGCGACCCTGGGCGGCACAGCTGGAGGGAGGGAGGGAGAGGGGGTGCGGCGGAAGGGCTGGGGGCAATCGTCATCACAACCTTGGACTGCAAATCGGTCTGAATTTCTGCCAGATTGTGTTTTTCATTGAATCATTCATTAACTATCACACATTGAAAAGAAACCGCTTCGTGGAAGAACGCGGGACCGGGCAGCGGACTTTGCGCTAAAAACGTGTGAACAGAGTGATGAGCTAAATCCATGAAACTCATTACAGTACATATTCTTGGTTCTTTCGGTAAAGTCACGTTGAAGGGAAACAATAAAATAATAAAAATATAAAACAATAAAATTCTCACGACGTTTCGACAGCAACACAAGCAATCATTATCAGGTGTGGAAACACAACAAGAAAATTTTCAGTCGAAACGTCGTGAGAATTTAATTATTTTATATTTTTATTATTTTATTGTTTCCCTTCTACGAGACTTTACCGAAAGAACCAAGAATATGAATCTCTGCAGTCACGAAAGATTTAAATCAATACATATTTAGTTTTGCCAAGTCATCCTCACTGAGCTATGTAGCTTTTTTCAGAAGCGATCTGACCACAAATGATAGCTCAACAAAGTGGCTTATAACGTGGAAATGTAGCACAACCAAATACTCTAAACGCGTGATGTTCACTTTAAATGTGGAGGGGAAACCCGGAGGACTCGGATAAAAATCCACGCGACCACGGGGAGAGAGACACGCAAACTCCAAATATAGAGCAGGCGGATCGACCCACGACCTCCTGCATACCAGGCGAGGTAGTTAACATCTGACCCTATAGTGTGAAGAGAGGCGGCAGAGTATATTCCGAGAATCTCTCATATACATTAACCTATGCATGAGAGAGCACTGAGCATGAGCGCTCAGCGCAACAGCGACCCACCCCAACATCCCCCTCGGAGCAACGCCACTCACGCTCAAAACAACAACAAAAATAATAATAAACCATGAGACACCCGTACGTGGGACACCATCGGTTCGCTCTCCGTGAGCCTGGCGCGAGCGATGTGGATTGAATTAAAGTCTTAGAGCAGTGGTTGGTGCCCCCTGCGCCGCCCCTATCAAGAACCCCTCCCCCACCAGCCACCCGCCAAGCTTACTAAGGTCACATTACAGAGAGACGCCACGCGTCCACGCCTCTAGTCGATGCGGTGTGAGTAAGGCATTTGTTTCGCTCAGTGTGTGTTGTCGACGCAACCTGTCACCGACATTCCCCGCTCAGAGTCGAAATTTCTCCTGCACAGTAGCCATGCCGCAGCCTGCGTGCGCCCAGGAAAACACGGCCCGAGTCACGATCCGGCCATTCTCTTGTCGCCACACACCTCGGCCGTGCCCCGAGGGCCGTTCCTACACGAGTGGGAATAATCCGTGTTGGCGAAGCAAGGGTGGCTGACCACGCAGTTCCAAACTATGGTGGGAGAGGGGGGGTAGCAGAGGAGTGACGTTATTAATAAGAGATGGGGGGGGGGTGAAGAATAGGAGTCTGCAGGGTACAGAGGGCGACAGACGCCAGCATGGTGACCGTGATAGTAGTGATGACGCTCCTCGTGGTCACTCAGAAGCGCAGGAGGAGAGGAAGGTCTTGAGTCTGGACCTCAATGAGACGCGGGGGAGTCGGGAGTGCCCTACCTCTTAACATACCAATTCAGACCTTATTGGTCACCCCATGCCCTTATAAGTCTCAACGTTCATCCTACAAAGTCCATCACAACGGAGAAACACAAATAGACCAAAAAATGTGCCCGTATTGAAACTTATGTACGCTGTATGGACATGAAAACTCAATTTCCCCGTACAAGAATACGGGTAAACCTTATGCGTTGACAGGTATGGAGTGCGGACCAACAAGGAACGGGTGCCAACCCTTACTTCACCTTAATGATCACCCCTTGTGTGCTCTCGCCACCTGCTGGTTGAACGCAGATGGTACATTGAGCGATGATACCCCAAACCACGATCTAGTTCAGAATAATAATGCACAACCGTTTGTCAGTTCACTGCTTGGATGAAGGCTTCCCCAACACCGCGTTCGGGAAACCATACTTCACCGCGCTGGGTAATGGTGGAGGGAGCACAGCTCCTGGACAGCTCTGGCTGACACGAGGCCCTCATTGGAGCTCCTCCACCCACTCTCCCCTCAACTTCACCCTTGGAATGGCCGTACACTGAACGACAGAGGAACACACGGTTTAGAGAACCTAGGCAGATGAACGGGTACTCACATCTGTCAAACTGTTAGGAAAACGTTTCAGTGTGGGCTTGGGAAAGACGCGCACACGGCTATCGGGAAGGGATGACGGAGGTGTTCGTCAACAAACATTTGCGGAGTGGTAGCCAAGGAATGGAGCTGGAGAGGATGAAACGACATCAGCTCGTGGTGCAGTACCTGCTGGGTATTGCTCGGTGGGTAGGCCTTCATCCAGCAGTGGATTGACCCAGTGCCGGATTAAGCTAGTGCGGGGCCTGTAGCATATGTTATGAAGGGGCCCTAAATAAAACAAAAACACAAATATTAAAATACAATTTTTGTTACTTGCTAAGTAAAGTAATTGTATTTTTTAATTTTCTATACAGCCAGATAATACTAAAAATCTCTAAGCTTAAACACCCAGTCATTTATAAAAGTTGAAGGCGGCATAGTACTATAGTCATAGAGCAAGTGCAGAATCACTGATGATTCACCCCTCCCATCCTGATCTGCCCCGCGTGTGGCACGTGACAGGCGCTGGCTTTCTTCAAGGGCATGTCCTTCCCTCTGGCGAGCATCGCCGCCTACAACTCGCTCGTGTTCGGGGTGTTCAGCACATCGCGGCGAGTTCTGGAGTCGCTGAGACCCCCCGTGGGCTCCGGCGTCCCGGGGTCTCACCAGCACGCCGCCGACGCCGCGCCGACGCGCACCCCCGTGTCCGAGCTGATGCTGGCGAGCGCGCTCACGGGTGCCGTGTCCGTAACCGTGGGGGCGCCCGTGGACCTGGTCAAGATTCGACTGCAGATGCAGACCCAGAATCTGGGGATCGGTGAGTAGCGAGTCATGGGCAGGGGGGGCAGGGGGGGGGGGGTGCGTTCAGCGACACATTAATTGACCTGGGCGGTGATGGCTACGCGCGTGGCCTGTAATCCAGAAAAGTGGAGGCAGCGAGGGTTTGGAGGATCACCGCACACATTGTGAAACTCCCCTTCCCGTGGGTGGGGGTACGAGGAGGTGCCGTAGCCTGGCTCGCAAGGAGAAGGCGGAACAGCAAGCATGTGGATTCCACTTGTTTCCCATCTGTATAGGATATAGTGTTTCCCCTCGCACGCGTGGGTGTTCTTCCGGTGGTCTGGTTTCTGAATCAACTTCTCACCGTGTGTGGACCTTAATTCAAGGTCCGGATTTTACTAAATTATCCGCAAATTACTCAGTTGGGCTTGCACACACAGTAGCAACCACCCCCACTACTGGCAGCAGACTAATGCCATATTGCAGGCCAGCTGCTGAGTCAACCGGTGCCACACAGAGGAAGCTGCCACTGGGGGTGCCCCTTTATAAAGCGCTCCGAGACACCCCGGCGTAAAATGGCACTCATTTACAAACGAATCATGATTATGTTTTATTATTACGTATTCTTGATAGCAAAATGTGGATATCATCATCAGCTCCAATGATGTCGTCCTTACGCTCAATGCCCCTCCCTCCTGCTCCTCCTGCTCCTCGTGCTCTCCACGTTGCTCCCCTAGGCCTACAGCCGTGCTCACTGTACCGGGGCCCCATCCACTGCGTGTGGCTCACGGTGTCTCGCGGGGGGCTGCGGGGACTCTACAGAGGGGCCGGCGCGATGCTGCTGAGGGATGTCCCGGGCTACTGCACGTACTTCGTGCCCTACGTACTGCTGTGCCAGCTCTTCACCCCCAGTGGCCAGCCCGAGCCCTCCATGGGTGCGATTTGGGTGGCAGGAGGACTGGCAGGTAACCAACAAGAGAATTAATTCACGTTTGTTTTATTTTATTTCTTATTTTACCAGGTGAGGCCCACTGAGCTCTATAGCTCTTTTTTTTGCAGAAGCGACCTGGCTATCACGAATGATAGCTCAACGAAGCGGCCTATCATCACGTGAAAATGTATCGCAGACAAATAGTCCACACGCGTGATGTTGATTCTAAACGTGGAGGGGGAAAAACCGGGGGACCCGGAGAAAAATCCACGTGACCACGCGGAGAGTGAATATGAAAACTCCTGACATACAACAGGTGTCAGGGTCAGGATAGAACCCACGACCTTCCGTATACCAGACGAGGTGGTTAACTTCTCGCCACCGTGGTGCTCCTAGATAAGCACGCGGAGGAGGCAAATATTCAGAAGATGATTCAGAAGGTGAGCTCTGTTTCAAGGGTAACTTGGCTAGCGGACAGCAGTGGAAGAGAAGTGTTTTACACAGACCTGCCCCTCCACGTACAAAACTCAATTATTATTTACACATCCCCTTCAACCACACGGCCTGGGTTGCCATGCTTCGTGCAGTGGATGCTGTTCAGGGTTGTGGCCCCAAAAGCTTCGTGGAAGATCAAAGCCGGGGGATCTTCTGCTCTGGGTCTTTCGCGAGGAGGTGTTTGTGACTTCTTGTGAACCACGTGCGGCTTTTAAACATCATCATCATCAGGGTTGTATAAGCACCGTGTGAATAGATCGTTGTGCTTGAGATCACTGTGTGAACATATCGTTGTGCTTGAGATCACTGTGTGAATAGACCGTTGTGTTGTGGTATAGATTGCTGTTGAATTAACGCCACGCTGTGTGTGGGGGGCAGGATCCTTGTCCTGGGGTCTCGCTACCCCCTTCGACGTGGTGAAGAGTCGCCTGCAGGCGGACGGGGTTGTGGAGACTAAGTACACCGGGGCCTGGCACTGTGCCCAGCACAGCTACCGCGCAGAGGGGCTCGGGGTCAGTGCACACAGCCACACAAAGACCCCCGTGTAGCCTTGCACAGATTGTTGGGGTAAGGGCTGTAAACGAGCCCCTTTGTGAAGGCCGGCAACTACGCCAGGCCGCGTTTGTCTCCCCACTGCCAATATTTTCACGCCCATACACAGTCCTCCACACACGTGCACACCACCCATGCACACCCATACAGGCGCACCCACATACACACAGCCTGCCACACTCGTGCACACTCATACACACCAATACCCACACGCATTGCGTACACACACACGTGCATGTCCTCGAACTCTCATCAAGACACACCTGGGTCACATTCATACACACAACCCTTGGACACTCAGATATACACAAGCACTGGTTACACACATCCATACACTCATCATTACACTTCCATATACATACATACCTACACACTCCCACACATTACCAACACACCAGTAAGCACCACCCATGCAGGGCAATTATGCTGAATGTGGATTTCATCTCCCACCTCCTCTCCCATTCCACCTCCTCTATGTCCCTGTGCTGCCCCTCCCCACCCCCACCTTTGCTCCCACCCCCATCCCCCCCCCGGTGTTTTTCCGGGGTCTCACCGTGAACTTGGTCCGCGGGTTTCCAATGAGCGCCGCCGCCTTCCTCGCCTACGAGTTCAGCCTGCGCGCCATCCGCGGCATGGGGCAGGGCGCGGGGCTGTGACCCTCTCGGCGGGGGCGGTGGGGAGGGGGGTGCAGGTGGCTGGGTGGATTGGATGCGATTGGTGGAAGGTTAGTGGAAGGTTGGACGGCAGAGCCGCCGGAGGGAGGGAGGGAGGCCGGGTGGACGAAGCTGACGTTGCCCCCGGCTTGGGCTCACATAAAAGGAGGGAAGCCCCCACAACGGAGCTGTTGTTTTTATGTCTCCAATGAATCAAGAGGGAGTGCCCCCACGGGACATCCTGACCCGGGCCTCAAGGAAGAGCGTGGATGGACGTGTGGATGGTGGAGTTGTCACCTTCGGGAAGCGGTGGCTCGACGTGTTGATGCCAGCTCTCACCTGTGTGTATGTATGTCACCTGTGTGTATGTGTGTGTGTCACCTGTGTGTGTCTGTCACCTGTGTGTATGTGTGTCACCTGTGTGTGTGTCACCTGTGTGTATGTGTGTCACCTGTGTGTGTGTCCCCTGTGTGTGTGTGTCCCCTGTGTGTGTGTGTCCTGTGTGTGTGTGTCCCCTGTGTGTGTGTGTTTTCCCTGTGTGTGTGTGTCCCCTGTGTGTGTGTCCCCCCTATGTGCGTGTGTGTGTCCTGTGTGTGTGTCCCCTGTGTGTGTGTCCCCTGTGTGTGTGTGTCCCTGTGTGTGTGTGTGTGTCCTGTGTGTGTGTGTCCCCTGTGTGTGTGTCTATCCCCTGTGTGTATGTGTGTGTGTGTCCCCTGTGTGTGTGTGTCCTGTGTGTGTGTGTCCTGTGTGTGTGTGTCTATCCCCTGTGTGTGTGTGTCCCCTGTGTGTGTGTGTGTCCTGTGTGTGTGTGTGTGTCCTGTGTGTGTGTGTCCCCTGTGTGTCCCCTGTGTGTGTGTCCTGTGTGTGTGTCCCCTGTGTGTGTGTGTGTCCTGTGTGTCTATCCCCTGTGTGTGTGTATTTCCCCTGTGTGTGTGTGTCCTGTGTGTGTGTCCTGTGTGTGTGTCCCCTGTGTGTGTGTGTCCCCTGTGTGTGTGTGTGTCCTGTGTGTGTGTGTCCTGTGTGTGTGTCTATCCCCTGTGTGTGTGTCCCCTGTGTGTGTGTGTGTCCTGTGTGTGAGTGCCCTGTGTGTGTGTCCCCTGTGTGTGTGTCCTGTGTGTGTGTCCTGTGTGTGTGTCCTGTGTGTGTGTCCTGTGTGTGTGTGTGTCCTGTGTGTGTGTCCCCTGTGTGTGTGTGTCCCCTGTGTGTGTGTGTCCTGTGTGTGTGTCCCCTGTGTGTGTGTGTGTCCTGTGTGTGTGTCCTGTGTGTGTGTCCTGTGTGTGTGTCCTGTGTGTGTGTGTGTCCTGTGTGTGTGTCCCCTGTGTGTGTGTGTCCCCTGTGTGTGTGTGTCCTGTGTGTGTGTCCCCTGTGTGTGTGTGTGTCCTGTGTGTGTGTGTCCCCTGTGTGTGTGTGTCCCCTGTGTCTGTGTGTCCTGTGTGTGTGTGTCCTGTGTGTGTGTGTCCTGTGTGTGTGTGTCCTGTGTGTGTGTGTCCTGGCACTCTGCCTGCTGTTGAACACGGGCATCCGGCTCTACCAGTCTGCCAGCCTGCTCTTTAGAGGCCACTTACCATCTGTCTGTATGCACGTTGAACCTCTATCGCAACGTACGTAGCCAATCGTGCTAAACACGGCAAAAAGCAGTTCTAAAGAAATGATCTTTCCAAGAAAAATTTTTCAAGGCAGCAGCCACGCTGTTAGTCGGAGACAATAGTTGCTCAAGCTCTGCGGGCCTCTGTATAGGAAGGTGTTATCTATCAATTAACGTTTAATTGTGGGCGCTACATCACGATCCTGGGTGGCACAGCTGGAGGGGGGAGCTGGGGGCATTTGTTATCACAACCTTGGACTGCAAATCGGTCTGAATTTCTGCTCGTTTATGTTTTAAATTTAATAATTCATTAACTTATTCTTGGTTCTTTCGGTAAAGTCACGTAGAAGGGAAACAATAAAATAATGCAAATATAAAACAATACAATTCTCACGACGTTTGGACTCCAACACAAGCAATCATCATCAGGTGTGAAAACCACAACAAGAAAATCTGAAAAAAGTGGCGGTTATTTTTAACGTTAGCACCACGGAGAGCGATTTGACAGTTATTCAGATGGACGAGTCCATCTATGTTCGGAAAAGAGGAGGGGGGAGACGAAAAATAATGGATGCGGTCTGAAAGCCACCTTAAGCGTGATCAATCAAGACCCGAAATGGTTTATCAAATCCTTCCAATGATTGCTAAGCCAGAATCCATCTTCTCGGTTGAAATTGTCTCTGCGTTTGTATATGTGGATAGCCTCATGAACGAATCTCCCCCCTCCTCTTTTCCGAACACAGATGGACTCGTCCATCTGAACAAACTATCAAATCTCTCTCCGTGGTGCTAACGTTAAAAATAACCACCACTTTTTTCAAATTTTCTTGTTGTGGTTTTCACACCTGATGATGATTGCTTGTGTTGCAGTCGAAACGTCGTGAAAAGTAACAGCTTCGTGGAAGAACGCGGGACCGGGCAGCGGACTTTGCGCTAAAAACGTGTGAACGGAGTGATGAGCAAACTCCATGAAACTCATTACAGTACTTTTAGACGACTATTGGCCGATTCTAAAACTTTCTAGAAATTATGAGCGTCTGATGAGACACATACACGCCCACGTGGCACTGCTGCTCCCCCTGTTCGCTCCGCTTATGGACAGAGTATCCTGCACCCATCATAAACCCCCCTCCGTTATATCCTTATAGGTCGTTGGGGTTCTGAGCCTGTTAAGGTGCCAGAATGGCACGCGATGGGGGTGGGGGGTGGGAACTTGTGGCCAGCATCATGCCCAGCCGCCTTTGTCTCTCCCAGTGCACATGTCCACACACCAGGTACTCTTATGTTAAGGCCAAGGATGGCATTCAAATATCATTCGCCACTCATGTAAAGTTAGCCGTGGCCAGGAATGAAACGGGGATGCATATACGTTGACCTTCTTTCGCATCGTACGTAGCCCAACCGTACTAATCTCAGATGGCTGGGGGTTCCTAGCAAAGTGCGCTAACCACTGCACCACCCCTCCCTGAACCCCCAACTTGCACGGCCCAGACAAGCTCTGTAACTTGAGAGTCCCGCTTTTATGACTGCCCGGGACAGGGCATTTTGTTCCTAATTGTGTTGGCAAACACGAGTGACCAGAATTACATGACCTACCGAGTCACCCAGAGAGCGAGAGACACGCGTGATGGGCAGGGCAGTGGTGGTGTCTTCGGAGCTGCACGCCCATGGCCTCAGATTTTGAGGGGCCTCTTAAAAATATATCAAAACGAAATTACTTAATACATCAGCAGCGGCCATGCTCAATCCACTGCTGGATCAAATTCTTCCCAAGCCGCCGCAGCTACCTCTCACGACACCGCGATGTTAATTGCTAATAATACTACTAATCATCTACCTACCACCGGCACGTGGAGCTGATTTCATAACTCCATCTCTTTGGTGCGCGTCCTCTGGAACGCGAGTTCCATTCAAGAGCTGCCAGGAGCACACTTATATCGACCGCGCTGTCACGGGTTGAAACGCAATCGCGAGTCACACAGCGAGATGCACGATGGGTAATTTGGCAACGAGACACCCGATTCTGTCATTTGCCAAATTAAAGCCGTCGCATCACTGTGTGCAATTAACCAGTTATGTTCCGACATTAAATCCGCGTTGCTCGTTGTCAGTGCCTACACACATGTACCGTGTGCGACCCCTTTGGTTCAATCCACAGCTGCACTTGAGGGCCTTGGGGCTATTTAACCATACTTGACCACGCTGGTGGATGGTGCGGGAATGCAGGGAGCATCTGCACAAGTACAACACGTCGTGAGCCCTCCCTGGGCTCACGACGTGGCCCCGCAGCAGCCGCAACAACGCCGCTGTCGTGGCCGTTGTGAGAACCCTCCACGCGAAACCCCCTCGACGAGAATGCGAGATGCAATGCGAGATGCGATGCGAATTCATCCACGGGATGAAATGTACGTAATCTTCTGTAACAGAATTTATTTAAAATTGTGTGTTTTTTAATATATATAGGTCACCCCGTGCCCTTAAAAATCTCAACGTTCACCCTACAAAGTACCATCACAAGGGAGAAACACAACCAAATAAACCTGTTTGTTTGCCAGTATTGAAACGGCTGTACGCCGTATGGGCCTGAAAACTCAATTTCCCTGTACAAGAATACGGGGTAAACGGTGATGGGTTGACAGCTGTGCTTCGACAAAGTCACCCATCGTTCCTTGAGGTCATCCCTCGGCTTGTGCTCGTCTGCCACCATCGTCCGGCATCCCCTTCCTCTTGATCGGCGAGCGGTTGGGATTCTGTTGCCGTGTTGTTTCAAGTCAAGACCACTTAAGACCCTCATTTGTTGTCACGTGTCATATCGCTCACGTATTTTTATTTTTCCTGTGCAGTGTCTGGAGATGCGGTGGCGTTTAGACGCTGTTATACAAATGTAAATTGCACTGTAAATGTGGTTGTAATGAAATTATGCTGTATGTACATATTGCTCACTTGTGTAAAATACATTTCGTGCCAATGTAAAAGGGTTTTATACTCGTACACTGCGTTACTATCGGAAGATGATCAGTTACTCCACTTTAAATCTGAATAAAAAAGCATAACTTTTCACTGTTTCCTAAATGCATTTATTCTATGTTTAATCCACTGCTGGATGAAGGCCTGCACACGCCATCGCCATCCCCCAGTGCTCCACGATGTAACGATCCCAACTCACTCCTGCACACAAGCTCGTTTCGTCGCTCCATCTCCGCAAGCAGACGTCCTCCCGGCCTGCGCGTTTTCCTCGTTTGGCTGCTACTCAGTCATGAGTCTCGGCCACCAGACATGACCATCGTCGTCGTCATCACGTGCATCCTCCGGTCACTCTCGCAAACGAGATGTCCTGGCCTCTGGTATGTATGTAGAACTTCTTTTGCACCGTACGTATCCGACGGTGCTCATCGGAGGCGCGGGTGAAGGACAACAAACTAAGCGCACACTTGCTTAAACAAAACCAACTTGGAAGTCGAAGAGCCGAAGCCCAGGTTACTTTGTTCTTGTCTGAAGTTTCAACGTGGCGATCTCTAAATTGGGTTACACAAATGCCACTTCAATAGAAAATGAAACACATGGGGTAAGCAACAACAACAAAAGCCTTGCGCTACCAATGTTGCACGCAGGCACACACGCACGCGTGGGACAGAAACGACGCGCGTGGAAACTCTGGTGAGGAACGAACACGTTTATGACGTTTGCATAAAATAGTGGCGAATTCGGGTCAACTCGATACAGGTCAATACGTACGGGTCCACCGCGTGAAATTAGTGCGGGCGGCAAGCGCAGGTAGGCGCGCAGGTAGGCAGGCAGGTAGGCGCGCAGGTTGGCGCGCAGGTACGGGGGCTGGCGGGCGGCGGCGGAGCTGGGAACATCGGCAAGGAGCACCCATGGTGCGGCCGGGTCCGGGCGAGTGCTTGAATGGGTCCAGGTTGGTTCAGGTGGGTCCAGGTGAGTGCAGGTGAGTACAGGTAGGTCCAGGAGGGTTAGACAAATGCAAAATGCAGATGGGGCGGTGTACCGGCGGTGGCGTGGCCTCGCGGTCACACGTTCGGGGTTCGGTTCCAGCGGCTGCCCCGGTTCTCGCCGCGGGGCGTATTTAGCTTGCGGCTACCACGCGCCGTCAGCTTCACAGTGAACGCTAAAGATCCCGTGACGTCATACGCAAGGGGAGGCCATTGTGTGCCGGCCTCATGGTCCAGATTTGTCAAATTACCCACAAATCACTCGCGTGGGCTTAGACGTAGAGAGCAACCATCGCACCCCTACTGACAGAAGACTTGACAGGACCCTCATGTTCTTGGTTCTTTCGGTAAAGAACCAACGTGCGAGGGGAGGCAAGCGCTCGCGCACGGCGTGAGAGTTACGCGTGCGCCTTCAACGAATGGAAGATCAAAGAGTCGCCAAAACTGCGATTCCAAGTCCAAACCGATGAACGGCATCGCCGACGACGCCATCCACGCACCACGTTGGCGGCGTCGCCGTCACCCACGCTGCGCCAGCTGCTGCTTGCTGCTGACGATAATGACGATGCTGCTGATGCTGCTGCTGCTGCCCCCTCGGATCGGTTGAAAAAAAAAAGAAGTTGAAACGCGATTCAACGCCAGTGCGTTTCCACGCTGCCCTAAGGAAGTGAAGTGCAAGCGAGCGGGTGGGTGTAGGCGTGCGGGAAGACGACGCCACTCCCGTAGGTGCCGGCACGCACGTCGTGCGCTCCCCGTTTATTTTGATTCGACAGCAGGTGGGGGTTGTCTTGCCGCCAGGTAAGGCACATGGAGATGGGACGGGAACACGACGAGGGGGTTCCCAGCTCGGACAGCCCGACAGGGACAGCCGCGGTTACGGCCGCGGCTACAGCGGCGTGCGAACACGCGTTTAGTGAGCGGGTTGGAGCCGCGTTGTGCAAAGCGAGGTGGCCATTATAGCTACATCCAGTGGTGGGACCGACCGAGCAATTGATGGACCGACCGACTTAGCGGGCAATTGACGGACCAACTGACCGACCGACCGGGCAATTGACGAACCGACCGCCGGTTGTGAGCGACAGCGACATTCATTGGGCCAAAACGAACCACAGGCAAAAAAAAACAAGAAGTAGACGGACAGCCAAAAAGTTTCGCGAAAAAGTCACAGCGATCCGACGGTAGCGTTTACGGTTCAAGCCAAAGTGTACACATATATATTTTCCTCAATGCAATCGTAACCATAGCGACGCCATCATAGAAAAACAAGTGCAATCAAAAGCGCGACTGTAAAAATTGTAAAAAATATATATACACGCCGTTCTCAAAACTTTTTGGACCGTTCCTCGTTTCACGTGTTATGTACACGGGCACCTACGCACACGTGCGGACGCGAGCGAACCCGCCGCGCTCCGCGAAAGCCGCGCGGCCGGCCATAGCGATGAGCACGCCCCGTGGGAGAGACGCGGTTTCTGTACAAAGGCACTTGCTTCACCCGTGCGTCGAGCGGAACTCCACCAAGCTCCATCGGTCGCCCCACACCGAGCCACCCTCGTCGTTATCAGCGCCGGGGGGGGAGGCGGGAGGCCCGTTCACGATGCGGCGACGGTGAAGCGTCTACGGGAACGCGGAGAGAGCGACCCAGAGCACTTTGCAGGCCGCAGGGAGAGAGAGGAGAGAGAGGAGAGAGAGGGGAGAGAGAGAGAGGGGAGAGGGAGCGTTGAGATGACGTTACGGTTGAAATGTGAACGAGCGGACGTCACACAGAGGGAGGGAGAGAGACGGTCGGGGCTTGATTAATCAGTGGATATTTCGTCGGTAGACCGGTAGATGGCACGTGACTAAGTAGTCGCCACAGTCACAGCGAGATGTATAGTGGGCGTGCCGTGCCGGGGGGACGGATCCGGCTAAAATAAAACCTGGAGTTAAGTCGTCGGCAGAAGAGAAGAGTCCTGAGCCGTGGCGTGGTCTCCTGAGCCCTGCCACGTGGACGGCCAGAGGAAGTGGACTCCAGACAACAGGGGGCGTCAGACGCGACAGTGGTCTCGCCAGCGTCGCCAAGACACAAAAATTGGCCGTTTCCGAATGACCCTCGAGGCGTGGAGATCTCTCGGGCCCCTTGCCAGGTCTCTTCGCCAGGCTTCACGTCGGGAAGAGAGCCGCTTGAGCAAGGTGACGGAGCTTCTACAGTCGTGGAAACCACTCGGGTAGCAGAGGGGCCGGCAGCTGTAAGCCACTCTGCCCTCTACACCAATTAACTGACGAGCCGTACGCTGCACCCCTCCACTCGGAGCTTTCACCCCCCCCCCCACCTCGGCCCCCCCCCCAGCCCCCTAGGTTATGTACTTCACCAACTTCGACATCGTCCGCGCATATTCGTTTAAAAAAAACAACAATAAAATGAGCGCAACAGCAGCGGAAAAAACAACAAGAATTAAAAATGCAAAAGCAATTCGTGCCGAGGGATGCAGGCGACTTCGTAGCCCCTGGGGCCGTCCAAAAACGCGGTGGGGTGGGGGGGTGGCGTGCGTGGGGGGGCTCCATAAATTTTTAAGCAGTCGAGCGGCGAACTCGAGCAAAGGAAACCGCCCGCGACGTCTTAAGATAGCGCAGGAGGGCCGCGTGCACGCGGCCCTCCTGCGTGCCGAGCAAACACCCGTCGCTGTTTGCCTTTCCTGCTGTTGACTTTTCTTATTTCCCAGTTTAACAAGGCGGGCAATTGCTCCGGCCAGTGAAAAATAAAATGAAACCGGGAGCGTAAACGACTCGGGTCGGTGGGGGGGGGGGGCAGAGACCGTTGGGGCCGACGGGCCTCGCGTTGCCGGGCATCCCCGGCTCGGCGGCCGGAGCGAGGAAACTCCGGGGGTGCCGGGAGATTCCCGGCGATCCGTTCCGACCCGGGCGCGAAGTTTCGCGACGGGAATCCGCGTCGCGGACAGACGCGCGGCATCGCCGTAGGGGCCTAAAAAGCTCACGAACGTTCAATGCGACTCCGGCGCGGGGCTGGCGGTGGCTACGTGGGTCCCCACATCGAGCACCGTCCGTCCGTCTGTCCGTCGGTCGCAAGCGGAGCGACCGTCGGGGGGAGGGGGGGGGGGGGGTAACAACAAAAAAAATCTGGCCGACGTCAACTCCCATCAGCCTCGTTCCGCCGCACCGCCGCCTCCCTCGCCGCTTCTTCTCCTCCTCGCGATTCGGCGGCGGAACCCCGGGCGCCCACGGCACGTCGTCACAGGATGGCGATCGTCTCCTGCTGCTCCAGGTCGGACCACGTGCGGGCCTTGCTCTCGGCCAGCGAGCGCCACGGCGGGGAGCCGTCCGTGGGGCTGCGGTCGTCCGAGCCGGACGGGTCGCTGCTCCCGTCTTCCGGCGGTTCGCACGGACGCACAGAAAACACGAGAGAGGCCGCGGTCAGCGAGCGTCCATGGAGCGCGCGGCGCACGACGGCGAATGAGTGTGGCCGCGATGGCGCGGCCCCTGCTGTGACGATGCATCGCACCGGGCCCGCGCGCACAGCCGGCGACCCTACACACAGCGCTGACGGCGCACGAGCGGCGTGCCTGTTGCCATCGTACCGTCCCCACGCTGCCCGCACCGGGGGCAGCTGGCGCTTCCATCATCGATCCCAGCAGACGAAGCGGGGCACGGCGTAACGCGAGCGCTCGGTCGCGGCCCGAGTGGAGATGCCCCCCCCCCCCCCCTCTGCCCCCCCCCCTGCCCCCCGCGTGGTGATCGCGGTGCGTCTGCGGCGACCGCGCGGCAGGGCCCGTGCAGATTTCGTTTCAGCGCCGTGTCGACTGGCGCCCTTTAAAGTTTAATGGCTTCGGCGTGGCTCAGCGGCTCGTCGACGGAGAGTCGCCGCCGACCTCCTCGCATCTGATTCGTTCCCCCGGTTGCCTCTTCTTCTATTCGCCGACAGTCGATTTGCATCGACGGCCATGCTCGCGGCACGCGCGTCAAGTCGCGTCTGCCGAATGTCGTTGTTACAACGTGCAAATTAGCTGCGCGTGATATGCTGACGGTACATTTAAGCCAATGGAGTCAAACGAAGCAATACAAATGAGGCGGCAAAATCGAGACAAAAAAGGAATCGATTCTTGAATGGCAACGTGAAAATCACGTGGAACCGCTGGGAGAGGGACGGCAGCCGACTCACGATGCCCCCCACTGAAGAGGAATTCAACGGGCCGGCCAACCACCAGTGATCAGCCACTGCTGGTCCAAGTCGGCAAAGCCTACGTTTGGGTCATTTCAGTCCCGTGAATTTCTGGTGAAAGTGGGCAGGCGAGCGAGCGAGTGGGGTGGGCGACTTTGTTCGATGTGGCAGGGGCGAGACGGCGGTCGGCATCGCGTCCTCTCCAGCAGGACGCCGCGACAGGATTATTGCCAGAAAGGGTCAAACCTATTGTTATAGTACCATCGCATTATCACGTCATTAAGAGTGGCCCTGCTCCGCTCCCCCGTTGGGGGTTATTTTTCGTTTCGATCGGACGGGGGAAGGGAGCGACGGAGCCAAGTTCCACCGCCGAGCCGGACGGCATCGCAGGGGAAGCTTGGCCAGGCACGGGCGTCGCTATTGTTGCGCCGCGTGTGTGAACAAAGCTCTCCGGTTACGACCGAGGGGATTAGGCCGTCGACGTTTTCCGTAAACAATTGCCGAGCCGGAGCAAGCGGGAGGCCGCTCGCAAGGAAAGGCGGCCGCTTCGTCCAGAGCGCAGAGGACACGCCTCCGATTGGCACGTTTTGCTACGTACGGTGCGAGAGAAGTTCGACATACATACATACGCCCACGTAGAGCGGCAGTTTTAAGTCAACTGAGGTTGAGGATTTGCAACCTTCACCCCCAACCCCCTCCCACCGCCTGAAAATTAAACGCAGAATGACAAAGATCCTCACTGTAAGCGAGCACCTATGAAGGCTGGTACGGCAAGGGTGGGTGGCCAGCACCATGGCCGGCTGCCTTTGTCTCCCGAGTGGCGATCATTAGACACCGCACCAGGTAATCACTTTGGGCTGAGTCGACCTAGGAGAGCTCCAAGACCGGTTCAGATAATCGTCACCGGTGTTGGTGGCCATCGAGCGGGAATCGTAGCGCAGCGCACTCACCACTACACGACAGCACACGGATGCCGCTCACCGCTACACGACAGCACACGGATGCCGCTCACCGGGATTGGACCTGACATCGGAGGCTCCTGGAGTCCTGCTTCCTCCACCGCACCGCGCCAAGTCGCTCGCCCCCTCCTCGGCCTCGCTGCCCTCCCTCACGGCGGCCACCGTGCCGAAGCTCTTGATGCCATCGCTGCTCGCCCGGAGCCGGCCACCGTCCTGCTGCTGCTGCTGCTGCTGCTGCCGGCAGAAGGACTGCGACTGCGGCGTGCGGCGCAGCTTGACCCCGAACGGGCGCGTGCCGTCCCCGCCGTCCGCGGCAAGCTCCGGCCAGCCCGACGGCGCCTCCGAGAGCATGGAGGCGGCGCGGATCATCGGCTCCACGGCCGAGACGGGGCGCTGAGTCCTCGCGCGCCCGCGCTTCGCCACTTTCTGGGAAACGCCGCCGCCGCCCCCCTGCCGCGTGCCGCCCCGCCCCTCGGCCTCCCCGGCGTCCACGGCATCGCAAGCGCCGGCCCGCCCCGCCGGCGCGACGAGGTGGTCCGATCCCCTGGGCAGCGACTTGCTGCGCGCCGTCGCGAAGGGCAAGCGGCCTCCGATCTCCGACGAGCTCCTGTGCGGGAGCTTCCCGCGGCGGTCCTCATCGGCGCCCGCCGGCGCCGCGTCACTGGGGCTCCGCAGCGTGGGGCGCGGCAGCCGTATGGGGTCGTAGGTCGCCGGCTCGTCGTTCGCCCCCTCCGCTTCGGAGTCGTCGGACGAGGAGGCGGCGGCGGCGGCGGCGGCGGCGGCGGCGTCGGAGGACGAGGAAGCGCCCGGCGCCGGCTTCGCCCGCACGCGCGGGAGCCGGAGGCTCTGCCCGGACTCCAGGGCCGTGACGACGGCGGCGTCGCCGCCGTCGTTCGCCGGAGACTCGGGGGGCTCCGGGGATCGAGCCGCGCTCGGCGTCTCGTCGGGTTCTTCCCGCAGCGCCGGCTCGTGCTGGGGGCGCGGTGCTCGCTTGGCGCTGGGAGGGACCAGCGCCGGCCGCTTGGGTCGCTGCTTCTCGCTCGGTGATTGGCCCGAGCCTCCTGGTTCACGCGCGCACCACAGCGAGGGGTATACTGGATTGGATTTAGTGAAGGCCGAGTTTTACCCTGGTCGGTCCGAGTCGGCGACGTGGAAAATACTTCCAGCACACCACATCCAGTATCCCTCTTACTCGGGCTATGACTCGGAGTCATATTCCTACGTGAATTCCTGCTCCAATGAGCATCGAGGTGGTGTTCATCCTCCGTTTACAGCCCTGAGCCAGTGTTGGAAATTCCACATTCCTATGGTAGGGGTAAGTATGTCCACAGGACAACCACTTTTCATAAGGTGGTCCCAATTTCATCCACCACCAGGATGTGAACTCGCAACTTCCTGACCGCGAGCCGCTCGCTCTACCGCTGAGCCACCGGGCCGGAGTGCGAGCGAGCCGGCGAGCGGCGAGGGTCCGGTGAGACTCACCCGGGCTGGTGAGGGAGGGGCTCTCTCCGAAGGAGGACGCTGGAGACAGAGCGCCGTCACCGTCACTCGCGTCCTGCATGTGACGGCACGGAGAGAGGAGGAGAGGCTGTGACGAGAGACAAGAGCTGGGGCTGGTGGGGGGGTGTGGGTGGTGGAGGGGAGTGGGTGGGGGTGGTGGGGGAGAGCGGGTGGGAGTGGTGGGGGGGCGAGGGCGGTGTCGTGGCGGTGGCGATGCTCACGGCAGCGCGGCGTGGCCTTGCGCCCGTGCGCTGGTTCCGGGGCCGCACGGCCATGCGGTGCTTGGCGGCCGTGTTGTCGAGCGTCGCCGTGAACGTGGGCCGCTCGTCCAGGCTGAGCGGCGTGCACCAGCTGCTGCCTCCCTGCACCACCCGCACCGCCACAACCGCACCGCCACAACCGCGATCAAAACAACCGGGATGGGCGCAACCGGATTCGCGACCGCAACTCGATCGCGACCAATAACGCATCCGCAACCACAACCACTCCCACAATCACAACCACTCCCACAACCACAACCACTCCCACAACCACTCCCGCAACCACAACCACTCCCACAACCACTCCCACAATCACAACCACTCCCACAAACACAACCACTCCCACAACCACAATCACTCCCGCAACCACAACCACTCCCACAACCACTCCCACAACCACTCCCACAACCACAACCACTCCCGCAACCACAACCACTCCCACAACCACTCTCATAAACACAACCACAACCACTCTCATAAACACAACCACAACCACTCCCACAAACACGACCACTCCTACAACCACAACCACTCCCACAACCACTCCCACAATCACAACCACTCCCACAACCACAACCACTCCCACAAACACGACCGCAATGCAACGACAACTGCAAATCACAACCACGACCACCGCCACAAACGCGATCACAACCGCAGCATCAACGTGCACAAATCGCAACACACAGGCAGCACACAACCTGGCCTGCTCCGTTACAATAATCCATTGGCTGGTTTGTGATGAAACAAAACAAAAAATGTAGGAGCCGCACGAATTAAAATAGCTCTTGTGTTTCGTTATCCTTGTCGCTCATTTTTTGTGGAAGCAATTTTATCAACAACTCAAACTGCGACACCCCGCGGGACAGGAGAGACGACGGGAGGCAGCTGTCACGGCAACTCGCGTTTTGCAAGTTGCCCAAAGGTCGGCCTTTGAGCTCCGGAAGATTCCATCAAACTGGCCAACGATTAAACTCGGGGTAAGCGCCGACTCGTGGCGCAACCTTGTCACTGAAGTGTTGTTCGTGTCGAATCGTGCGGATTGGAGAATCTCAGTGGCCTCGGTCTCGGCGTTGCTGACCTCTGACCTAACCCAACTGCCCCCCCTCCCCGCCCACCTCCCCCTCAACACCCACATAGAAATAATTTTACTAAACTAAACCATTTTAATTTGACCAGTTAAGGCCCTCTGAGCTATGTAGCTCTTGACATGAACGCTTGACTTGCCGGTCGCTGCTTCCGGCACCGAGGGGGAGGCGATTCCGGTGGCGATCGTGGCGATCGCGGTTGTGATCGTGGCAGTGATTGCAGGAGTCGAACGCTCTGTCAATGCGCTTTTTTTTTCGATGACGTGCAAAAAAAAAGTGGCAAAGCAACAACGCGGAAGCCAGCAGCAGGGATGGGCACCTGTTCAGGAGTCAGGGGCCGATCAGGCGCCGGCACCAGTTCAGGTACCAGCGCCTGCTCCCTCGGCAAGGACTGCGTCCCATTTTTTCTCAAGGAGCCCTGCGACCACCGCTACGGACGGACACGGAACAACAAAAAGCAAGGCACGAGCGGACACGGACGTAAGGCGCGGTGCGACCAGCGCAAGCAAATGAATAAGCCAAGCGAGACGAACGCCGCAGCTCTTTGCCGCGGCCTTGCCGTCGCACGGCCCTCGACGCGGTTTTAGGCAACGGAGGCTGGAAACTCTTCAGAAGAGGGCTGCACGGCAGAGCCAGGTGACACCGTGGGTGCGCCCTGAAGCACAGCGAGGCGCACGCTCACAACGCAACAGCGCTAATGCGAGGACGCCGCACAGTGGCGAGGATTTGTTTACAGCGTTACAGCCAATAAATAATGGAGTTTGTTGACGGAGGCGATTACCGCGCGTGTAAATAACTCGCGTGGGGCCATCAGTCAGGGCGCGGTAACGAATCCGCCCGGTGTTCATTACCCACCCCCCCGGGCGAGCTCCGCATTATTCGGAGTTGGTCTCAGGGAGAGGACAGCCTCCTCTCGGTGCCAAAGGTGGCGAGCGGCAAGTCAAGGGGGGGGGGGCACCATGCGAACCGCGGAGGATGCCGACGCCGCCGCCGTTCCCTCTGGCGTCGCTCGCCGCTTGGGGATGAGTCGGGACGGGGAGGCGATGCGCAGCGTCCGCAGCAGCTGATTCTGCACGAGAGGAAGGGGGGCGGAGACGCGGGAGTGTCGGGCGATCCCCAACGCGATGGAGTTGCTCACGGTCGTGACAACAGTGATGTCACGTGTGTGGCATCTCTTGGGGAAAGCCTCGCAGAATCCTAAAACCTTTTTCTCGGGACGAGAGAGAGAGCAGGGCTGCGGCACAGCCCGGGAAGAAGCAACAGGGGCCTAGCGCCAACGACAACAACATGGACAATGACAACACTAACGATGAGGACAACAACAACGACGAAGACAACGACTACAACGATGACAACCACAACAAGAACAATGACAACAACAATGACTACGACAATAAACGGGAACAATGACGACAACAACGACTACAACAACAACGATGACGACAACAACGACGAGCTCCATGAGCAGGAGATGGAGCAATGAAGTCGGTTTCGTGCGGCAGTTGCTCGGTCGATAAGTGGAGGTCGCAGCTCGGGGAGACCTTCACCTAGCAGTGGATTGACCATGGCTGATGACAATGATAATGACGACGATGATAACAGAGTCCAAATTTGAGCGTCATCTTTAGACGCCACGCACGGTTTGGGAGTCTCGCACCAAAACACGCGATAATCTCTGCGTGATCCACCAACCCTGCCAACAGAGCTGCGGCTCATGGAGGGGGGGGGAGGTCTGTGGGGAGGGGGGGCACAGTGCCCCCCGCTCGCAACTCGGCGGTGGTGCTGCCGGAGTCACCTTGAAGGCGCTGACGCGGCCGGCGAGGTTGTCCTGGGACAGCACGCGGGACGGCCGCTCGGGCTGGGCGGACGCCGCGTCCGGCTGGAAGACGCTGTCCAGGGACATGGCGCGGGCACCCAGCCTGCCCACAGCGGGGAGACGAGAGACGTCACACAGAGACGTCACACAGAGACGTCACACAGAGACGTCACACAGAGACGTCACACAGAGACGTCACACAGAGATGTCACACAGAGACGAGAGACGTCACACAGAGACGAGAGACGTCACACAGAGACGTCACACAGAGACGAGAGATGTCACACAGAGACGTCACACAGAGACGTCACACAGAGACGTCACACAGAGACGTCACACAGAGACGTCACACAGAGACGTCACACAGAGACGTCACACAGCGACGCCACACAGAGACGCCACACAGAGACGTCACACAGAGACGTCACACAGAGACGTCACACAGAGACGTCACACAGAGACGTCACACAGAGACGTCACACAGAGACGTCACACAGAGACGTCACACAGAGAGGTCACACAGAGATGTCACACAGAGACGTCACACAGAGACGCCACACAGAGACGTCACACAGAGACGTCACACAGAGACGTCACACAGAGATGTCACACAGAGACGTCACACAGAGACGTCACACAGAGACGTCACACAGAGACGTCACACAGAGACATCACACAGAGACGAGAGATGTCACACAGAGACGTCACACTGAGACGAGAGACGTCACACAGAGACGTCACAAAGAGACGTCACACAGAGACGCCACACAGAGATGAGAGACGTCACACGGAGACGAGAGACGTCACACAGAGACGTCACACAGAGACGTCACACAGAGACGTCACACAGAGACGAGAGACGTCACACAGAGACGTCACACAGAGACGAGAGACGTCACACAGAGACGTCACAAAGAGACGTCACACAGAGACGCCACACAGAGATGAGAGACGTCACACAGAGATGAGAGACGTCACACAGAGACGTCACACAGAGACGTCACACAGAAACGAGAGACGTCGCACAGAGACAAGGAGGCGGTGGGAGAGACACGGCACACACAAGCTCACGGAGGATGGCGGCTGCTGCTACTGAGAGATTCCACGCGTGACTGTAACCGTGTGGGTGTATCTAGCCTGGCACAGGCCCCGTGGTGGCAGGTGTTGTTGTTGTGTGTGTGTGTGTGCATGCATCTGCGTGTGAATGACTACGATGCGGTGGTTAGCACTGTGCTAAGAACCCGGCCACCCAAGTTCGATTCCCGTCCAGGTACTCATGGGCTTTCCCTAGATTGGCCGAAGCTTAAATGCATATGTCGCGTGGGGTGTAACCATCAGCACTACGCGTGTGTGTCTGTGTGTGCGTGGGAGCGTGGCAGTGAGGTGTGGGAAGCTGTAAGCCCCAGGCTACCTTGGGCTCGCCTTCCCATCAATCGGAGGCGAGGAGTGGTGGTCGTGGTTACTTATGCCCCCACCGAAGACGAACATCCGTGGAGGGATGCAGGCAAAGCCGATGAGTCAGATGCCTTCTATGACCTCCTGTCACAGGTGCTGGCTAAAGTGGCCCCTCGGGATAGAGTCATCTTGTTGGGTGACTTCAATGCCCGAGTTGGTAATGATGCTGGCACCTGGTCTGGAGTGATTGGAGGGCATGGGCCAGATCAGCTCAATAACAACGGTAGGAGGCTGCTAGATTTTTGTGCAGCCCATGGGCTTGTAATTACCAACACGCTGTTCCGGCATCGGCGCATCCACACAACATCATGGATGCATGCCGGGTCCAAGCAAGAACATCTGCTGGACTACATAGTGATGGACCAGTGGATGCGAGCCCATGTCCTTGACACCAGGACCTACCGTGGAGCTGATCTGCCCTCTGACCATCGACTAGTCATCTGTAAGATGCACCTGCCATTCTTCCACTCTGGTGGTGGGTGTACACCCAGGACCCCATTCCAACCTAAAGTGGCCTGGTCTCAGTTATCTGATGAAAGTTGCAAGCGAGAATTTCATCATCGCTTGCGGCTGGGGTTGGCATCGTCCCCCACTCCTCCTGATGTCGAGGGTAAATGGGCGAGGTTTAGGACTGTGACTCATGCAGCTGCAATGGCTGCTTTGGGTACGCGGTCCAGACCTCCCCAGAGACCCTGGCTGACCGAGGACATGTTCAGGATGGTTGAGAAAAAGCGACAGACCCACTGTCATCGGCTACAGAATCCTACGTCAGAGAATGAGGAGGCTTACCGCAGCCTTCGCTTGGAGGCTGGGAGAGCCGTGAGGCGCTGGAAGGATGGGTGGTGGTCGCAGGTTGCTGAGGAGATGGAGTCTGCCTCAGTGGCCCATGATCACAAATCTCTATTTAACGCCATCAAAAAAGTAACCTGCAGTGCCACACCTATTACCATCATTAGGGGAAAAAACGGTGATCCAATCTCCGACCCCCAGGAACAAGTTTGCAGATTTGCTGAGCATTTCTGTGAGGTCCTGGGGGAGGGGAAATCCCTCAGTCAGGAAAACATCGTGGCACAAAGTGGGGATGACCCTGCTGAGGCTGCGGTGCCTCAAATATTGGAAGAAGTCACCCCCTGTGAGTGGCTGGCTGAGGTGCCATCTGTTGAGGATGTACTGAAGGCGATCCGGAGTCTGAGACCAGGAAAGGCACTGGGTAGAGACGATCTCCCAAGCGAAATGCTGAGGGAGGTTGGCGTTTGTGCACAGACTGGCCTACATGACATCATAACAACAGTCTGGACCACTGGACGGGTTCGCAGGATTGGAAGGATGCCCTGGTGGTCCCCCTCTTTAAGAAGGGGGACCGCACAGACTGTAACAACTACAGGGGCATCTCACTCCTCAGTGTGCCGGGAAAGGTCCTGGCAAGGATTATTCAACATCGCCTTGCCAGGCACGCTGAGGAGAGGCTTGCGGAGCCCCAATGCTCTTTCAGGAAAGCGCGGTCCTGCACAGATGCCATATTTTTCTGTCCGTCTGCTACAGCAGAGGTGTAGGGAATTCCAACAAGACCTACATCTCTGCTTTATTGACCTGGTCAAGGCCTATGATACCATCAGTAGGCCTGGGCTCTGGGTTGTTCTTCGTGCTTTTGGAGTCCCTGACCCTCTGCTCACGATCATTAAGGACCTTCATGATGGTGAGCTGGCCCGGGTAAAACTACGTGGCCGGGAGTCAGAGCCATTCCCTGTACACCTTGGGGTGTGACAGGGATGTCCTCTGGCTCCCACATTATTTAACATCTATTTTTACCACGTAGTTCGTGAAGCCTTCAATAACTGTACTGGGGGAATCTCCATAAATTACAAATATAATGGGAGGCTGATCGATGCCTGGGTGCGGTCAAGGGATGGCTCCCTATTGCTCAACCACGTTATGTATGCCGATGATTTGGCAATAGCTGCTCATTCAGAGGAGGAGTTGGAAACGCTGCTGCTGGGACTGGAGCGTGCTACTAAGAGATGGGGCCTTGCCATCAGCCCCACCAAAACTAAGCACCTGCCTGGGTATTTTGTACCATCGGACACTCCACCCCCACAACTCCCAATGCGTGATGGGGCAGTTGTGGAGAGAGTGGAGAGTTTCCCATACCTGGGCAGTGTGCTTATGACCGCCTCCAGTTTAACAGCAGAGGCCTCACTCCGAATCAGTCGAGCGGCAATATATTTTCATCGGTTGCGTAACGCTGTGTGGAAGCTACCTGGTCTGTCGCTCCGCGCTAAGCTTCAGGTCTTCTCGGCTACGGTCATTCCCTCCCTTCTCTACGCTTGTGAAACGTGGACCCCCTTAATGGAACATCTTCGCCGGTTAGAAACATTTAGGCTAGCCTGCCTACGACCATCCTGGGTTTAACCAGGCTGAATTGTGTGAGGAGCTCACAAATTCTTGAAAGATCTGGGCAAGGTCCCATCGGTGAGCTCCTCCGGCAGGCAAGGCTGCGTTGGCTGGGTCATGTAGCCCGCATGCCCAGCCACCGCATGCCGAAACAGCTTTTGTTCGGCCGGATCGAGGGGGCTAAACGAGCGCGGCACGGGCTAGAGAACAGATGGAGTGATGTGGTACAGGAGGACGTGGAGCTAAGTGTACTTGCCGATGACTGGTACTAGAGGTGTCAAGATCGGCCTCTGTGGAGGAGGCTCGTGAAGGATGCTATTGGGCAGTTGGAGGCAGTCGCCCTCCAACAACAACGGAGGGCGGAGGAGCGACGCTCACAACAACGAGCGGAGTGCCGAGTGGCTAAAGCACAGCAGGTTGGCACAGTAGGGGGCACAGGTGGTGCACCAGCCAGTCATTACAGTCAATCGACCCGTGGCACCTGGGTCTGCCCCGTGACCTCCTGCCCGCGGGCGTTCGACACTTCACGTGGCCTCAAGGTGCACATGGCCTGGCACAAGCGTCGTGGTGACGTCACCGCCACTTAGTGGCGAATGGCGGTTGTTGTTGTTGTTGTTGTTGCATGTGCGCGCGTGAGTCCGTGCATGTGTAAGCATGTGTCCGTCCACGTGCGTGTTCCCCCGCGCGTGTCTTGTCTGTGCTGTGGAGCTGCTGACCGGTCGTCAGGGTTGTCATCAGCGCCTGGGACGTTAAGCAGCGTCACGGAACCGCTGTGGGTGTTGGGTTTCTTCTTGGCCCTCATGAAGAGCCTCCGCAGCTGTTGGCGGAAGTGGAAGCGGCGCTTCCCACTCGAAGGGGCTTCTGGGAAAGCCGGGAAGGGGGCAGCACATGAAGCGAGGTGGCAGCATCAGCATTTGCAGCTGGGCTATCCGATTCTTTTAGACTAGGGCACAATACAAGCGGGTTGTAACGCGTGCTTCAGCATTTGCTCGCCCTCGTAGAGGGAGAGAACGACTCGGGTAAGAGGAACTGCAGACCGACGGAAAGAAACGGCGGTCAGCCGGTGGGCCAGCTCAATTTCGCCAACGCATCCTCGTCGGTTTTTGCCGAAATTCGAATCACATCTGGCACCAAACATCGCAACGCGCATGACGTCGTCGCGCCTCTCTCTCCGTGGCGGCAGGGACACGCGGCCAATAGAGAACGCACGGCGGATTGAGACGGTCGTGGCGGGACCCGGACGTCCGATAACACGACGGCTCTTCCCCCCCGTAGCCGCACGGCCGGGCTGTCCATCCCGGGCGGTCCCACACGAGTTTGGAGCGGCCGGGATGGACGATCGCCTTCTCGCGCCGGCTCCGCCTGTTGTACGTCCTCGCGTCACCGTGAACACAATGACCGCCGCCATCGCGGCTAAGCGGGCGTCCCTTCATTTTAATCCAGATACGATCGCGAGAGCTAAATGGCGGGGAAAAAAAGCCCCTTGTAAAGGACCAGAAACTGATCAGGCGAGACCAAGTGAACAATGCGGTTCCTATTCTTGGTTCTTTCGGTAAAGTCACGTAGAAGGGAAACAATACAATAATAAAAATATAAAACATTAAAATTCTCACGACGTTTCGACTTTTCCGAAAGAACCAAGAATATGAATCCCTGCAGTCACGAAAGCTTTAAATCAAAATGAAGTTCCTCTCAAGACATAAATCACGTGGCTTTCTAGCCAGAAGCTTAAGCGTCATTAAAGAGAATTAAAGGCTTCAAAGGTACACGGGCCCTCCAGCGATGTCCCTGCAGTGACCGTTATCTTCCAATAATGACCAAGTGACACCTTACGGGACATCACTGGGGCCATCCACCTAGGCTGTTGTTTACAAACAAAGGGTTAAATTCACGTCCATGCAGCCCAGGAACACACGGCCGAGGTGGATATTTTTTACAAGAGCCGCTGTTTTCTTTATGAGTTGGTGGTTGGATTTGCCCAAACTCCATTGCTCATTACCCACTGCAGTACAACTCTCTTTGTTTGCCATTCTCCTCCGTTCAAATACAAATTAAGTTGCAATGAGCTGCACGAGTGCCTCACTGATTGACAAGAGAGAGTGACGATTCAAATTAAGATAGCGGACCGGTGTGTGCGTCTGTTTGTTCATTTGCAGGGAGTGGTGGCACAGTGGTTAGCCACTACGCCACAAACCCGGCGAGCAGAGATTAAATCCTGCTCACGGCCAACATCAGTGACAAAATATCTAAGCCAATCCTGGGCCTCCCCGAGGTTGACTCAGCCTTAAATGAGTACCTGGTGCAGTGCATAAACATGGATCGGCACTGGAGACACAAAGGTGGCTGTGTGTGGTGCTAGACTCCCCGCCCGCTTCTGCTATGCCAGCCTCTCAAAGGTGCTTGCCAACAGCACTTGGCCTAACAGTCTGTATGCCTTCATACAACAGTTCCTGTACATCTCACGTACTGTAGGGTGGGTCAATTCAAATTAGCGTACCATTATTTTACATGAGCGATGTCTACATCACGTTGAACCAGTTTAGTAATCACCAGGTGTGTGCAGCACGCAGTAACCTTCTCTGCATTCCAACGACGAAGATTGGTAAACATTGAACGCAGCCTATGGTCGGTTTGGAGAACCCTGCCAAAAAGGACAGCCGATGCCATAGGGAAGATGGACGCTTGGGGAGGATTGAATCCAGCAGTGGGTAGATCATGTCGCCCCTTGGTAGCGCATACGATGCTTGTTGCAGAGGTTCGTGGTTCAAACTCAGCAGGCTGCCCTGGTTAACACTGCGGGCGTACCAACCGCACAATAATAAGCTCCGTCTGGACGTTAAAGATCCCGTGAGATTTTATAGAGAGAGAAAAATCGGCCTTTGTGTACAGGCTTCACAATCCGATTTATGCCAAATTTGAAAAATTACACTGCAATTTACTCAATTGGGATGTAACGGCTTAACATTTCCCCCTACCTTGAAACTACCGCAGGCTGTGTCTGTGAAACACAGCAGCGCGCCTTCCTTCGTGACGATCGCCCTGCCCTCGACGAACAATATCGCCAAGAGCAAACGTACTCAATTGTCGTGAATGACAGATAGATCCATACGGGTTTGTGAGAAAGATCTAGGCTCTTGACGATCAAACGTGGCGACAGCAAGGCCTTAGGCCTCAGCGTGCACACACTCAACCACCCTGGCCGCGATGTCAATTTTCATGGCACGATGATTATCGCAACATCAGTTTCCCATAACCTTGTAATTATACTTCGCATTTTTATTCATTTTTGCACTTTCCTAGCAAACAAGCGACGTTGAACCAACGTCTTCGTGTTTACGGAGCTGCTTGACTTTGAGTCCCAGTAAATGTTTATTTCAACGATCTTCAACTGAGGTTCACTCGACACGACCCTGCTGTGAGTCGAATCATTTAACATCTACAACGCCTAAAACTCGCAGTCACACAAGAACGAAATCGTTAAATGAACACTTACAACGGTCTAGGCGGCTTAGCTTAGGTTGGTTGCGATGCAGGAAAGCCATCGCGTTTACTGGATAATACAACTATTAATTTATAACACATCTCACGAAACGACTTTGGGACCTCCTTCCCATCGCCTCTCTTCCCAAACTCCTGTCACCATTCCTCAACTCGAGGAACGCTCTCACGGTCATCCATTACGGCCGTGAGAGTACTGTTTGTTGCTGGCCCCTGGGCGTTCAGGGCCAATTTGAGTCTGTGCTCAGCAACCGTGTAAAAAAATTCTGCATGGATATGAGGAGTTTAAAACAATAAATGTATCAATGATATGTTGCTGAACGGCCGACACGAGACAGCTCTCCCGCTGTGTTTTCGGGTGGTGCGGTGACACAACCCAACGGAGAGGGCCTTCGCAGTGGGACGACGACGACGACACCGCGAATGCCGTGGGCCTCGTGTCGTTTGCGACGCATCGTGCCGTCGCGGACTGACGGCAACGCTACCCAATTTGGCGATAAACCTCGGCGTGGAAACTCCACGAGCCACGATCACGAAACCAAGAAGTTCAACAGCTTACGCGCGAACCACATTTCCATTCATGGGATTCTCGGCGGCCGCTCTCTCATCAGCGGCTTCAGCTCCACGGCCGAGTGGCGCTCACGAGCTTGAGAAATGAAAGTGGCTACCTTGAGTCACGTGGGGGGAGGGGGGGCATGGGGGTGGCTGCACCCAACGCCCCCCTCCAGCCCCATCGAGCGAACGATCACAAACAAGCGTGCGGTTCCCAGAAACATTCCGTCCCCGTGACACGAGCCTCAAAAGCTCCGGCTACCGCCCATTTCCCCCATTCTGAATAAAAAAAAAATCTAAACGTTTCCCCCGGCAACGCGAGCCACGGAGTGGCAACGGCAAACAAACAACGGGCGGCGGCCGTCGCCAGCAAAACGAGAGGCGTGGGGGCTCGCGTGCCGCCCACCGTGATGGTCGTCGGCGTGTCGGTGACCGCCACACCGCCGGCCCATTCGGGAGGTGGCGTCGCCGATTCGTGCCACCCGAGGGTTTGGTTCCCGATTTGTCTCTCTCGGCGCTGTTAGGTTCAGTAAATAAACGTTTTTGGAATAACACTCCGTTCAAATGTCTATCCTCTGGAAAAGAAAAATGCATCGTGCGAAACGTTTGTCGAGGCCAGAAGGAGCAGTTCTAGAACACATTGCGCCAAAGATTTGCACGGTTGGTGAAGTATGGTGCGAAGGAAGTTCAACGTACGTACAATACGTGAGTAATAAATAACAGCTATTTGATAATCCACGAAAGAGGCTCCTTATGCCGTGTCGGTCATGAGATTTGTTTGACTAAACTGCTCTGTGAGGGCTGGTGGAGGGATGGTCGTGGACATCCCTCGACATGAACCACGGGGCAGGAAATCAACCACGGGTCGCCCGGCTCTTAGCGCAGGGCGCTAACCGTCACACCACTGCTCCCCCAAATAAATATAATTTGGGCAGCAAATAAATGAGAAAGGGATATTTTTAGTTCCACAAAGTGGAGTAACTTGTCCTACTTCTCACTTGCAACCCAGCGATCGTGCTCACAGCTGAGGATCTCGCTAAATGCACTTCCCCGCGTTGGATTCGGGCAGCGATCGAGCGCAGAACTCCATCCCATTAACAGGCTCGTTGCTGAAATACGAGGATTTCCATAACTCCTACAAGTTTATTTCGTCTGGCCATATTTGCCCCGCCCTGACAGCTCAAGGGCTATACAAACAAACAGGACAGGTGTGTTTTTCCTCCTCTCCAAAGCAAAATAATGGTTTAGTCCACGTATTTTCCAGCCCAAAGTTGTCCGATGTTAAAGAAATATGTGTAATATATTTATATATATATTTATTTGTTTAGGCAAGGCATGCCCTGCGCACGTTTTGACTTGTCTGAATTTCATGAGCAGGGCGTGGCAACTGTGGGCGCTTAAACGAAAAGCTGCATCGTGGCCTCGTTTTTGTTGCAGGCAAAGTGGCTCCCTGCAAGCAGCGGCACCCTGCCCTTCCGTACCGTACGTAGCCAACCGTGCTATTCGTGCCGTATGTAGCCAACCGTGCTCTTCGTACCGTACGTAGCCAACCGTGCTATTCGTGCCGTACGTAGCCAACCGTGCTATTCGTGCCGTACGTAGCCAACCGTGCTATCCGTGCCGTACGTAGCCAATCGTGCTATTCGTACCCAACGTAGCCAACCGTGCTATTCGTGCCGTACGGAGCCAACCGTGCTATTCGTGCCGTACGTAGCCAACCGTGCTATCCGTACCGTACGTAGCCAACCGTGCTATTCGTGCCGTACGGAGCCAACCGTGCTATTCCGCCAGTGGATTGACAAAAGGACTGCACGTGTGCAAATTTCTAAATAATTACTAAAATGTTATTTTATATTCCATCCCAGAGGGCCCTGGGATCCAGAGGGTGCTGGAAAGTGTTTCCATGGCGATGGGTGGTACCCGCCACTTTCGCCCGCCAGCTACCTTCGCCCGTTGGCTCCATCTCCGCTTCCTGTTTGGTTTCCGTGGCGTCCGATGCCATGGGGACGACCTCTGATCCGGCCGCTGCCCTTCATGGTGGAGGGGGGGGGTAAAGGGAGGAGAGAGTGGGAGATCAGAGAGAGGGGAGGTAGGTGGGTGGGTAGGGAGACGGAGGGGAGAGGTGGGGAGGAGGCAGGGGAAAATAAGAGTCAGCGGTGTCTGGTAGCTGTGTGCGTGCCCGAGTAGGGTTTCAAGGCTGCACGGAGCGCGCTCACGAATAAAATGCCGCTCCGATATTTCTCGCGGTTGCTTGCGAACGCCGACGTTGTACCTACACGACCTCCGATGGGCGAATGCCGTGTGGCGCACATCCAGAACAAGCACGAGAAACCACCACCACCACCACCAACCACATCCTGTTCTCCCGCCCTCTTCGTTCCTCCCTCCTCCCTTCCCGTGTGTAGAAGTGGCGGTCGGGCACGTGTCGACTCAGCAACTTACACGAATTGATTGAAAAGTGTTCTTACGCTCAAGATCTGCGCGAGCAAAAAAAATCAATCGTTCCGAATCGATGTGAGCCAACAGAGGGAACGCACCGCCAAGAGCATGTGTGCGGTGGACATGGAACGAGTAAAATCGGCTCGCGTGCAAGAGGCAGGTGGACTTTTTTTTTTGCATCACAAAACCGTGAGAGATGGCAACGGCTTGCAGAGGCCTTCATCCAGCAGTGGATAGACCGTGGCCGATGATGATACCCGGGGAGCGGGCATTGACAACTAGAATTATATTTTTAAAACTGAAGGCAAATTACTTGGTTCACTGATGATGGGGCTTGTTTTTAGTGTTTATTATGAGGTCGGCCTCAATCCAGAACGTTAACCTGCCCTTGCCGTACGAGCGAATCCAATCAGCCGCCGTGCTACGAGCGCGAAGCAATCGATCTATCCAACTCCCGCAAACCATCCCACCTCTTCGCTCTGTCTCCTCGGCGGACGTGGCTCCCCCCCCCCCGCGTTGGATTGCCAGCGTGGGGGGGGGGGGGGGAGGGGCCGGCCCCTCCGGACTCCCACCGGCTGCTCCACCGCGAGGTGCAGCATCCGGCTCGGCGGCTGCGGCGGGAGTTGTGAACGCGTGCGAAGTGCGGCGAGCGCGTTGAGCAGGTGCCGAGATAGAATCTGAGAGCCGTGGCCGTGAGTAATCGTTGGGCGATCGTGGAGCGGGCGTTCGTGCCGAGGGCGGGCCGCCAGCCACACCGGCCTCGCCGGCGGTGGCGTTGCGCGGGCGGTGCAACTGCGCCGGAGAGGGCCTCGGCACTTGGCTACGTGGAAGAAGAAGAGGTGGGGGGGGGGGGAGTTGGATGGGGTGGGCGGGAAGGAGGGGGCCATCGCATCCCTTGCACCTGGGTCCCGTGCCAACCATGCTTCGCCTCTTGCCCTCATTTAATTTTGTGCCCAAAACCACCGCATGTGGGAGTGGATATCACCGGCCCTCCTAGCTGACCTCCCCATCCTCCCAAGCCTCTGCGCTACTTTCAGTGGCCCTAACCCCCCATGTCCCCCCCCCCCCCTCGCATTCCTCCTCCTAGCCAGAGGACAATGCAGCACACCGGGGCTCACGGGGAGGGGGGGGGCAGAGTTTGGCACGAACGCTGCCGTCACTCCCACGGCGGAGCGAGCGTAGCGGGGACGAGCGAGCGGGGGGGGGGGGCACAGCCGCGGCAGCGAGCGCATTCCTCCGCCACGCCGCCGCCGTTGCCCTGCGAATTCCTCGCGATCGTGGACCGGGGGGGGGGGGGGGCTGGGGGGGCCGGAGGGGCGGGGGGGAGCTTCCCAGAGCCACGGCGGCGGTGGCAAGGATGCGCGCGATGAGTCAATAGGACGTGGGTTTGTGAAGTGAATCTTCCTTTCTTGAACCCAGGGGACGGAATGCCGACCCGCTGAGACACACGGAACAACATCCATCGCTTCTTGCGGATCTACATACAGGGGCACGTGCGTCACCGACAAAACAGAGAGATGTCTATAGAGCGTGTAAACACACGTGTCGCGTGTACACACACGTGTCGCGTGTACACATACGTGTCGCGTGTACATACACGTGTCGCGTGTACACACACACGTGTCGCGTGTACACACACGTGTCGCGTGTACACACACGTGTCGCGTGTACACACACGTGACACGTGTACACACACACGTGACGCGTGTACACACATAGTGTCAAGAGAAATCAGGGACGGCTGTATATGTAGTTGGCTCGAGTGTCCCCCCCCCCCCATCACTTCGTGTCAATTTGTAAAAAAATAAAATCTTGCAATGGTTTTGGGTGTGTGGAGGGCCACTCAGCCACCCTTCTCCACCCCCCCCCCCCTGTGCATTGGAGGAGAGGCGGCCATAGACAAGAAGAAGGCATATTCTTAGCTCTTTCGGAAAAGTCACGTTGAAGGGAAACAATAAAATAATAAAATAAATATTAAACAATAAAAATTCTCACGACGTTTCGACCATAACACAAACGGTCGCCATCAGGTGTGTCGGTTTGCATTAATTTATAATTTATTATTATAATTTATTATTAATGCAAACCGACACACCTGATGACGACCATTTGTGTTATGGTCGAAACGTCGTGATAATTTTTAGTTTTATATATATTTTATTATTTTATTGTTTCCCTTCAACGTGACTTTACCGAAAGAGCTAAGAATATGAATCACTGCAGTCACGAAAGCTTTAAATCAACAAGAAGAAGAAGGCAGTGGTGAGCCTGGACGTGAACAGGGGCAGGGCACCCACAGCACGCACGGCCGGGGGAAGAGAGTTCAAAACTGTGGGGGCAGAATAGGAAAATAAAACTAATTTCTTCAGCAGAACAGTTTTTTGTGTTCAGTTTGTTGTCCTTCCCCACCCCCCGCACCTCCGATTAGCACGGTTGGCTACGTACGGTGCCAAATAAGTTCAACGTACATACGAATGAGCAGCCTACCTCTGAGCAAAGATGAGATGAGAGCGGAGAGGTAGGAGAGTGCGTGGAGGGGGGCAGAGTGAGATGACAGGAGAGAGGCAGGAGGATAGTGAGAGTGAATGAAGAACCAATGGCTTTATTTCGTCACATTTTGCATCTCGTTTTGTATTTTTCCCCCGTTATTTCCGTGCCGTGTGTCCAGCTTCTGCCGGCGCCGTTATCGAAGGCCTCGCACCGGCGTGAGGCGCGTCACCATCGCGCTGGAACCCGTCAAGAGAGTTTCTAATCTAAACAATATTTACTTACTTGTTTACATCGGCCTCCAGAGGCTATAGGGTTTACCGGAACCGATCACACGCGAGATATTCAAAAATTCTTACGCAAATGATACGTTGCATGCTTCGCGAGCCGAGGCATCGAGACTCAATGAGTAATCGCTGCTCCGTTCCAACAAATGTTTCATTGTTTCTCTCACAGCCTCTGAGTCTCTGGACGTGTCTCACCCTCTGGCACCAACCCTTCGGAGTCCCCTTGAGCAAAGCCCCCCCCAAGAGAGCCCCCTTCTTATCCCCAAGCCCTGACAGTAACAGTCGATCAGATGCAACCACTCGGGGTTCTTAATGAATCATCATCATCAGCAGCAGCCATGGTCGCTCAACTGCTGGATGAAGGACTTCCCGCGCCGCCACTGCCGCCACCTCTCACAATCCAGCAATGTAATCGTCCACCTTCTAGCGCCGGGACACGAGCCAATTCCATCGCTCCATCTCCTCGGCGGACGTTCTCTCGGAATCCGCTCCTCGGCCGCCACTCCGTTATTGATCCTCATGACTCTGAATCAGCTTCTCTCCGCCTTCTCAGTTTTCCCTCGCCTTGGCCTACGAGGTATGTTTCGTGTGTGCCATACAGCGCCTCGAGTACCCAGCAGAAAGGTGCTTTATACAAATGTAACGCATTGTTCTTATTGTAGCGGCGTGTCCCGTCCAAGCCTGTGCTTACAGTTTCATTTCATTTTCATAAAATGTAGAATGAATTGGGGCAATCAGAAATAAATAGATAAACAGGCTGGTGACAAGAATGTGTGTGGTTGGCCTCGTGGGCAGAGAGCTGGCAGAGCAGGACAGGAACCGGGATCAGCTGTGCGGTGGTGGTGGTGAAATCCGGCAAGTTTCATAATCTCCCCAGGGAGCCGCTCTTCCTCATGGCGGCGTTAGAGGAAGCTACAGACTCGGCTGCGGTGCACTCATCGGCAGCATCTTCATCGTCATCATCGGGCGGTCACACGGCCTGGCGGTAGCATTGCCTTCGCTGGTTGTTGTTGAAGAGGTTCGCGTCCAGCGGACTGTGAACCTCCGTCCGCTTTGCTCACAGCCAACGCTGAAGATCCGCTGATGTCATTCACAAGAACGGGCCATTGTGTCGTCAGCGTCAGGGTCTAAATTTGCCCAAGTCAAAAACTACACTGCAAAAGTACTTGATTTGAACTGAGTTCTCACCCGGTTAAACAAATTAAACCGATCATGATGACAATCAGCATCTGGGTGGGTGGCTGGGTGGCCAGGGCTGGCTCGGTCTGAGTGGTGGGTGGGTGGTGGTGCTTTATCGAGTGTGCAGGCCCTGCAACTGCACCACCGCTGCCATCTGTCACCGGCCTGCGGTGCAGACATCACGGTATTTATTTACCCAGAAAAGTGTCACCGAGTCTCGAGACTTCAAGACAGAAGGGTCCCTGCCACATTGAGATGTTGGAACCGATTCCCTTCCAAAGAAGTGTTTGAATTTTAGCGACAGGCCACCAAAGCACCCAGAAAAAACGCAAAAATATAAATGATAATCGCATGACACATGAAGCCGTGATCCTGAGAGGCAGCGATCCACGCAGTTCTTACTCATGAGCCGATCTCATCGCTCCATCTCAGGCGCCCCCCCTCACCCCCTCCACCGATGACACCGTCGGCCATCGTCCCGTGTCTTGCCCAAGGCCCGCTTTACTGCTTCTTTACAGACGGTGTGTTGCACATTTATTTTATTGAACCAACCACCCAGCCACCCACCCAGCCACCCACGCAGCCACCCACGCAGCCACCCAGCCACCCACCCAGCCACTAACCCTCCCAGCCAACCACCCACGCAGCCACCCACCCACCTAACCACTCACCCAGCAACCAACCCACCAAGTTAGCCACCCACCTAGCCACGCACAGTCACCACCCAGCCATCCAGCCACCCAGCGAGCATCACTCTCTGCAGCAATCATCAGCAAGGGAGGTGCCCCCGTGTCTTACCCTGCACGTTGGTGTCTTGATCCGTAGGGGGCGGGGGGGAGTGAGGACGCCCGATGATCCGGGCGGGATGGGCGAGTGCGGTCACTCCTGCTCACGCATCTGCGGGACGCACGTGTTACGCGCGCACGCAAACACTGAGCGACGCACACAGCGCGCGGCATCGCACAACGCACCCAGCAACGCGCTCACGCCGACGGCCATTACCCATCTCCACCGCTGGGGGTTGCCCCGTTTGGCCTGCCACTCTCGGCCAAGCGGCCGTCGTTCCTTCTAGCCACGACGTGTTCTGCCCAAGCCTCACTTACACACACAACAACAACGGCAATAACAGTATCAAGCAGGGTTTTAACGCATGTATGGTCAAGTGACAGGTGCTCATCTGGAGCAATGTGAAAAATTAGGCCCAACACCATCACTTCCTCTCTTCTCGCCAGGGCGAGTGAATTGTTGTGGAATGGACACCAGGACCCCCCGTGACCGGCAACTTCCGCCCTTACAGTCTCCCACAATCGGATTCGGGGTTTTTAGACAAAGTCCCCGACAACGATCGGAAAGCTTCTCCACATAGCGATTACAACAACAGTTGCGCGGCTGGCGATCCGACCTTTAACGTGGCTCACGCAGCGTTGGAGTTATTTGCATCGTCACGCACTTCTCCGTGTGTGTGGCCTCTAGCCCAGCCATCCGGAACGTGCCCAATCTCGTCAGATCTCATCAGATCTCGTGAGCCAAGCGGGTCTGAGCCCGCACGGCGCTTTGATGGGTGCATGACAGGCGTTGAAGGCTGCTGCGTGCGCGGTGGCATTGCGGAGGGCCGCGCGGACAAATCGGTCGTCGGGCTGCACGATGCTCCCACGTCCACGCTTGAGCGTGGTGACGTACGGTTTAAACGAGCCATGCGGGTAGGGGGCTTGGGGAGGCACTCATCTAGCAGTGGATTGGCCAAGGGCCGCACCGAGGCACGCGGTGGGTTCATTGCTCCTTCCAGTCGCCCCTTCTGTCTGGAGGTCCCTCGCGTCCACTGCCGACTCGGCCACCTTGTTTAGCTACGGCTCAACTCCTTCATTCTACTCAGCCAAGGATTGGGGGGGGGGGGGCTCACTATAGAGCAGCGGTGGCTGGCTGGCATCTCGCGAGCCGCATGCGACTCTTCAATCCACCACACGCGGCTCTAGCAAAGGGCGTAACGTAGAACGTGCTATCACAGTAGCGGAGAATAACGAATGCCACCTGTGCTGTGCCAAAAACTGTCAATATATACACACTTGTTCACAATAAAGGTTTTTGGGTTAGATCGCGTAAGTATAAATGTGTCGTAACCCCTTCACCACCCGACAAGCCAATAAGTTTGGTCACGTAAACAACGCGCCAATCAGTTACTACTTCAGCCCACCGGTGTGTTGGAGAGCAAATCCACAGCATTTACAATTTGAGCAGTACGACGTTTCGCTGGCAATTAGATAAACCAGCATCATCGGGCGATTTGCCAGAATAGTGAAGCAATCCACCTGTTAGAGCAAGGTGACGTGTTAAGCATCCACACTTGTATACACACTTGGCTCTTTGCAGAACTCACGCCTACTTTGTGACTTTTGCTTTGTTACAGGTTGGCCACCCATGCTGTCGAGCAAGCGGCTCGCAATTGGAAAGGTTGCGATATCAAAAGCCTGGGTGGCAGTTGACTCAGCTCATCACTTTGTGGAGAAGTGAAGAGTGGTTGTCGCATGGATAGACTCACCCCTGCCATAGGAACGTGGAATCCCACCGCTGGCCGAGGGCTGTTAAAAAGGAGAACGGGCCACCAATTCCTCAATGCTCGTCTGAGCTTTGAATATTGAATTCAAGCATCTTCCATTGCTACTTCCTGCGCTGCAGCCCTCTCCTGTTAAAATATGTCGCCGTCCCTTCCTTATTAACGCGAGTTTGTGTCACACATCCAGCAGTTGATTGACACAATGCGAGGCAACTTATCGAGCGCAGCTCCCGGCGGCGCGGCTGCCATCTCAGCGGCGTTGTACGGCAGGGCACGCCCGCCCGCCACACCACCACTGCAGTTACAGTTTCATTTAAGAAATACGAAATCTTTTTTTCGCGGCTCTCCTGGCCTTGCCGTGGCTTATCTCAGCAAGCCAGACCGGCACGGAGTCCGTGTGGGAACCAATACTCAATGTTCTCCCGCCGCCCTCCTGACGTGCCCCCCCCGCCCCCAAAACCTACCGCTATTTCCCCCCCATCCCCCCACCAACAACAAACTACGTTCGGCCAGTACCCCAGAGTGCGATCTTGTGGGGACGAGGCACGGCGCCCGTTTCCGACACCGCTCCCGCACGCTGCCTCGCTCGCTCTCGCAGACCGGCCAGCCTGCGCATCCTCAGCTCGATTCCCATCCCTGCTGCTCGTTGGTCAGGTGACCCAGGGTCGCTCTTGGAAATGGGACTCTATCCCGGCCTCTTGAGCTCCCACCTCGTTCAATGGAATCTACCGTCAACTCGAAACGTGGTAGGGAGCAGATCGTAACGCCGGCCGTGGCGGTGAAGCATCCTACACCTGTGATCCGGCGCTTCCCAGGCAAGGGTAGGTGGATCACATAAGCTCCCAATACCCCAGGGGCTGCCGAGTGGCAATGAGTAGGCAATAGTGCAAGTGGGTTCGCGAACATCCTTCGAGCGTTATATCCGATTGTGTGTGGTGAGTTTTCGGGCACTCCGTGAGAAACTCTCATTCAAGGACGATGCAGCCCACGCAACGAAGATCTCCTTCCATTGTAAATATAAACACTGAGGCTGTAGTGCTGCTGATACGGGCATTATTGAGTAAAAGGACTTTGAAGCAACTACGGGTTGCTCTAGTATAGCAATCTTGTATGGTCACTGACCTATTATACAGCTCTTGCACAGAAGCGACCTGGCCACAAATGAGTTTGCAACGAAGCGGCTTGTCACGTGGACATTTTACAGCAGTCAAATAATATAATCTGAGGTTAATGGAGAGGAAGCAACAACGCCGCTGCAGCGATATGATGGAGGGCCTGCCAACGATGCTGAACTCTCTTCTGGCGTCACCGAAGTTCAGGTTTGACTTGCGTAGCCAGCCGACAACTCAAGAGTCCAGGACGTGATCTCTTGTGCAAGAGCGACCTCCCCCCCAGGACGGACATGTGGCCCGTGGCTTGTAGTCGCAAGGTAACAGCTGCTCGTGGTGTTGTTGTTGTTGTCGTTTGTAGGGCTGAGAATTCCTTGAGTAGAATTCGCCGAAGCCTCGCACCGCAGCCACGCGCTCCTAAATAGGCAGTGCTGCGACCCAACTTGGATTTCCCGAGAAAATAATAAAATAAACCACTGTCATTATTATCATTGCTGTTGCCGTGTTTGTTTATTCTGGAATCCGTTCTCAGAGAAAGCCTCGCGCCGTAAAAGGAAGTTCAATTTACAAGAAGAAGAAGAACGGGAAGGGCAATTTAAACATTATATATTATACTGTATATAGAGCCTGCCCGTGCTGACGGTTTATGATGTAAAAGCTGCCAGGAACGAACACAAAGCGGCAGCCACGACGGGCGGCTTGACCGGCCGACGCCCCACGCGAAACAAACAAACAACTCATGGTCGGCGTCGTCCACAGTCGGGGTGGAGACCGAGCAACGACGCTAAATAAGCGGACATAAACACCTCAACAGCCGTCTCGGAAGATACAAAACAAAAAAGCGGGGGTCTTTTGTTGTTGTTACTACACTTCTTGTTGTTACTACACTTCCCATCGGCTGGGCACGGCCTCCTGGGAGCTCATCCTCTCAGTGGCACTCAGCAAACCCCTGGAGAGCCAGCCGGCTTTTGACATTCGGCGTCTCAGAACATTAATAAATATTCATCCTGGAGGAATCCGATGAGCTATGAAGCTCTTTTCCACAGATGCCCAGTAGGGGCGGGTCAGAACGTCAAGACAACAATCTGTATCAACAGACGATAGAAGTGCAAAGTTTATTACAGATGACTTAAAGTAAATATACAAATAAAACTAAACCTTTTTTTGTTATCTTACCAGGTAAAGCCCATTGAGCTATTAACTTGTTTTTTTTTTCCCGAAGCGACCTGGCCACAAATGATAGCTCCACAAAGTGGCTTACCATGTGGATATTTATAGCAGCAAAATAATCTAAATAATCATCGGCAGTGTGAGTGAGGCTCCCTTTACACCAATGCCGGTATTCTGACTTGTTTAGACAGCTCTCCGCTGGAGTTTTCTGGTCGTGCCACCGCGTGTTGTACGTCACGATGTCCGACGTTTCGCTCCGTGTTGCACAATGCGGGGTACGACACAAACACTGCATGGGGGTACTCCCACGCAGTCAACGGACGATCTGACGGTATCGTTAGAAACACAGTATTCAGAATATTTCAGCTAATTTTGTTTCTGGTGATAGATTAATGTAGTGTGGGAGTCACCGGAGCGTGTGGACCTGTGGGCCCCGGCAGGTTAACGCTTGAACCTACCGCTCGGATTTTCCATTCTGCAGATAATAATCGGTGGTAACGGTGCTAACTTTCCCTCGCACGTTCATGATGTTCAGGATTAGGCAAAAAGTACACTAATTAGTCATTACGATCATAGCCCAGCGGCATTTAGCCTTACGACTTAAACAATAATCTTGCTCGTTAAGAACTAGGCACGCTGTAAGATACAATATTTACACGTGTTATTCGCTCACGTACATCGACACAAAGGCAAAGATCCCCCATATGGGCTACATAAGCTGCAAGGGGCAAGTACTGTTAGCGAGCACCTTTTAAAGCAGGCATGGCGTGGCGTTCGAGGCAGTGGTGTGGCAGTACCACGGCCTTTGGCCTTTGCCTCCCCAATGCCGATGTTCGAACGCCGCATCAGCTACCCATTGAAGGCTGAGTCGATATAGTGGATGCACAGTACAGGTTAATTTTCCACTTGGTATTGGTGTTATCCATGGCTGGGAATCAAACTCAGGATGCAGTTACATTTTGAGAGTACCTGTCAAACTTAATTTGGAGCTTTCGTGACTCAGGAATTATTATTTTGTTCTTTCGGTAAAGTCACGTGACTCTTTGGTTCTTTCGGTAAAGTCACGT